TGGCGCAGTCTCTGAAAGCTCGCACGCACACTTGAGATCGAGACTGCAGTCGAGATTTCAAGCTGGACGAACCTCAGAAAGGAAGTGCTTCCAGGTTCTCCGACCCACAAAAATGTTTCAAGAGCTTCTCCAAAAGTCATTCAAGGTGTAAACTGTCACGGTGTAGTGACAAAGGACGTTGACACGGGAATCCGTTCCAGAAGGGTGGAGATACGCACCGACTCGAACTCTTGGCTGAAAGCTCAGCATACAGTTTGGCAGGCAGCACTGCTTGAATGGCAGCCACTGTGAGCGCTCTCAAAAAAGAGTGTCTGCTGGGGCGAGTTTTTGAACACTGAAAGCGAAAATAGATGGAGTTGCTGGAAGGTAAGTTTCTCTAATTTGTCACTTGGAAGATAGCTGCCATGTGGAGCCAAACAGCTCAACGCTTCTTCCAGCCGGATAAAGCTGCTTGGCTCTTCTCCAAAGAACTGATCACGACGTAGAGTGAAAACTGTCACGATTTGAGCTTTATCGGTTCTTTGAAGACTGTTGCTGATTTGATGTCAGGGTTTAGAGACTGGGAAAGCTTCTTTGAGGCTTTAACGAGAGATTTTTTTGCGAAAGGGAGAGCCGGTCTGTCGTCTGCTGTTTTTAGCAAGGGATTCTAAACATCACAGACTCCATCTAGAGCCGATGATCTGAGTTTTCTTTTGTCAGGCTCCAGAGCAGGTAACTCCTCTCATTCACTCCTGTCTCTCTCTCTCTCTCTCTCTCTTCTTTCTTCCCTTCCACTCTCTTTCACCACTTGCTGCTTGCAACACTTTGGCATTGCATGCCACAGTTTGAGGCGGAGTCATCTTGAGGCGGAGTCATCGAAGCAAATTTCTGTTTTGAGTCTTGACTGTTGGCACTAAGAGAGCAAGTTTCCTTGATCGTTTGAAACGAACACGTGTTCAAAGACGCAATTGTGCAAGTCCAAGATGCGACTGTTTTTTTGGTCTTGGAAAATGTGCTGATGCTCAGAGACACTAAGAACGGAAGACTGTGACAGTTTCGCGTTGGAGTTAAGGACTGGTCAAGGCAAAGCTGTCATGAGAGACCTTGTTTTCCAAGAGATTGCAGACTTTTTGGACTGTGATCGAGTTTTCTCTTGAAAAAAAACAGCAGATCAGATATTCTCGGTTTGTGTTTTCGTTTCATTTTGTTGATTCTCTTTTTTTCGGTATGATAGAGAAAATCCGGTATTTCGTTAAATTTTTCATCTGGCTTGCGTTTAGGGTCCAATCACGACACTGGTGGTCCAATCACGACAGTGGTGCTCATTTCAAATGGTTGAATTCTTTGAAAGCTATTCATTGATTTCAGTTCTGCTTTTAAAATTTTCCAGCCACTCCTCCAGTATCGTGCTGTAATTTTTTTTGGAACCGCCTTATGTCACTGATTGCCATGGTTTTATCGATGTCTGTGCTGTCTAGCATATCGGGCCGCTCGTCGAGTACGGCGTGGATAGAAAACCGCTACCCCATGAGGATAAAAAGAGATACATCAAGAGGCTATCTCAAGCATGGGGCGACAACGAACTGGATAGCTCGCCTAACCCCAGAGTGGGGGGCCTGATGACGTGGATAAGGCACTTGGAGATGATCTGGGCTACCTGGGAGGCTAGCGGGGGGCCGGCCAGGCGACTCAAAGAGCCAGGCTAGGCCGGGCACGGCCCCCAGGTACATCCATCCCTCCACGGATGAGCCGCTAGACCACCGGCTAGGCCGAGGGCCGGCGAACGATAGGTCCTGGCAGCGGCGGCTAAATGAAGGCGGGGTGGCGCCCGCGAGGAGAGCGCTACAGGAAGGGCTGTGCCCACACAACCTGGATAGGCCGTCGGCGGAGCTAGTCAGCGAGGCGGCCGGCGAGGTCTGCACGAGTTGAGAGCGCCCCCTGTGGGGTCGATAGCCCAAGGCCAACCTTGGGGGCGAGGGCAGGCTAGACCAGACCTTCCACACGACCCCGCTAGAGGAGTGGCCGCTGGGAAGCTACCAAGAGGGCTCGGCCCTGGATATTGGGCTAAAGTCGCTAGGGGGCAGGCAGCACATGGAGCTGTCGCCCCGGCGGATACTCCAGCCCGCCTGGGCGTACCGGCTAGGAGACCACGAGTGCATCCAGGTCTCGGCTAAGACAACCTTGACAATGTTTGGCCACCTCCTTCTGTTCTTCGTCATATCTTGCTTAAATTGTGGCTGCGAGGGGTAGGTTCATGCTCCACAGCTCGGATCGTAGTTATTTGAACGATTGGGCTTGTCACTTCATCTGTATCAGGGGTCGAAAATGTTGATGAGTTTCTGAAATGTTAAATTCCGACCACTAAATGAAAAGAGCTTGCTCAACATCATAAACTCGACAATGGAATCGAAGGGGTCTGCAAAGTCTTAAACCCGAAAGCCTCGGTGAGTTCGTTTGTGCCGAATATGTAGGTGGCTGACCTATCACCATGAAAGTACATACATGTAAGTTAGTTCAAACACAATTTGAATAAAGTGTGATAAAATATATGTGGTTGCAAAAATATACATGTACAAATATACCAGCATTCACATAAGCATAAAATATTGCTTGCAAACTTTTTGTTGCTTTATTTGTATTTTTTTCGGAAGTAAAATACATTTAGACCCATGTATAGAAAAATATATTTACATACATGCATACATATATAAATATATAAAGATATAGTGTGTGTGTGTGTGTACTCGAACAGACTCATCAAGCGCGGATGCATGGTTGCATCCATTTAGAAGAACACATGCACTCTTGTGCGACATGTCAGTCTGTAGTACATATTGCACACATACCGAAATACATGCACACGTATGGCTTGCATATGCATTATGGTCTTCCGAATTGAACAAGCCGAGTGGCTTGCCTTTGCTCGAGCTAACATCTCTGATCTTGTGCCGGAAACAAAACAAGAAGTCTTGTCATCAACAAATGACAGCAAGTCAAGAGCTGGATTCTGGATTGAATTGAAATTTGACAAAATTAAAGGCCGCTACCCTGTAGGTATAATCTTGATTCGAGACGCCTTGAGCCAAAGGGGTTACCGGACAGAAAGCCAAAATCTAGATCCGGGGGTGAGTGGATTTCGGGGTTTCGAATCGAACTGTTCCCATGGCAAACATCAAGATTTGGAAAGTTGAGCCTCTAAATCCACTCACGCCCGGTCCAAGTAACTCAGGGGAGGTGGATGGTAATTGAAAAAAACTTAGGGGAGATGACATCTGAACAAAGATGCAACCAGCGCAAACCCAAATCAAACAAGCATTTTATACCCTAGGTCCACGACACACCTAAAGAATTAAACGTCTTGTCGTGCTGAAGTATTGTTACACAAGGATCATCCTCTCAAAGACAAAATAAAGAATAATTGAGTTTACGATGTGGAAAAATCCACAATCGTAAATGCCGTGGTTAACACGTTAGTTACATGTAAAAATGAGCTTGTAATGTGTCCTACCTTTCTATAGATATATAGTGTCGAAAATGCATGTATTTTGAGTGCTCTTTTCAGTTTATGTACATATATGTATGTATGTTGTATTGTATTTTTTTATAGCTGCTAAAAGTATTTTGTACATAACATGTAGTAATTGTGGTATTTCGAGTTTCTGTGCGCTTTCTTATTCCATATGTTTCTTTTAATAATGATGCGTTTGCGCATGCAAGCATGCTAAAGTTGCTGACGGTGATATTGAAAGTAAAGTAGCAAAATTACGGTGCAACCAACGGACGTGTATCAAAATCCACCCCAAGACAGTTTAGTTCGACTTGTTGAAGAAACTGTGATGCAAAGAAACAATGTCATTCGTGCTTTCCGCATGTGCGACCATGGCCACATTTGCGAAGTTGCGATTGTCCAAGCATAAGTCCACATAGTGCTGGCAATATCGATGCCAAGACGGATCAACGAGGCGACTAAACTTTTTTCGTTTTCCTCGATACAGTTTGTTATGCATAGTGAGGGGAAAGAGATCAACTTGCAATGATTGTGTCGGCGGCGCCTGCAGCGCAGCTTGCCTCCAATGCCGTTTACCGGCCGGCAGTGGCTTGGTGCTGCATGTGGCGAGTGGTTGAGTTGATGATGTCGGCAACGCACGTGCTGGATGTCCGTATGCCTCAGCAAGCTTAGCAGCTTAGGGTTGGCCACAGTCCTTTCAAGTCCCGTGTGGGACCGCGCCACCTACGCTGCCAGTTCCAGTGGGAACTCAGGCTTGCAAGACTCATGCACAGGCATGATGTGCATGCAACAATTTCCGAGCGTGCAGGCGCTTGTCGGAGGTGAATGCATCGCGATGCCGCCCCAACCAGTTTGACGCCTCAGTGGTGGACGCTTTCTTTCTTCTTGACATTTGCAAGCTGAGAAGAGCCAGAATGCTTGTACCGGTGCTTGCACCTTCGCTCATACTGTTTCGATCAGGTTCCTGACTTGTTAGTTCGGTTTTGTTGACGTGATCGGGGATTCTGCAGTAGGTCAGGAGATCGCAGCTGCAGTGGGTTCAAATCATGTGCTAGTTTTCCTTGGCCGCCACGTGGGAGAAGGACATTGGCTTTCTATTGCCCCTCGACTGCTGGAACGTGCATCAGCCACGTGATGAAATCTAAACGTGCAATGTTTGTGTTGTTTTTTTGCGGTGTGTGTGACATCGTGTTAAAGATGTTATATAGCCTGGATACGGTTTCGGGGCCACCACGAGGCATCGCTTCGAAGGGTCTATAACAACTGCAGCCCAGGCAGTCGTGCTAAATGCACATGTCGCGATGATGCAGAGGTGAGTGTTTTCCTTCGTTGAATCTGTCTGAAGGTCCGATTGCAGGCAGCATGACTTGCTTTCGTTTTTCTCATCCGCAGGTGGAAGAGCTGAGGTTGTTGGCTCCGACGCATCCCTCACGGCCTGAAGCTTGTCACTACATGTTTAGCACAGACTCTCGCTTTAGCGGATTTGGCGGGCCCAAGCGTCTCGAAGGTTTGAATGTCATCTGCTGCCTGCGACTCAGAGCGAATGTGCACAATGAAATTGGGCCTCAGACTTTGAGGTCGGTGCTGTGTCAGGAACGATCTGGCACTCCAATTCTGCCTTGTGTGACCTAAGGCCAACAAATCCCAGTCGCAGCCTGATTACAGGAGAGCAAAGCGTCCAACCGCAACGATCGTCACCAGACCACTTAGACCCCAGAGCGGCTCGGAGCAGCATCACTTCTGGCCCACCAGGAGCACCCGCACAACTTCTTCTCATGGGCGCCGCAGCCACAGCAGACTCTGTCTTTCTACCACCCAAGCTTCGATGTGATTTGTCCAGCGATACCCACTCAGTCTCGCCGGCCACTTGCCCAACATTGTTCTCAAGGACACAAATCAAACCTGTCTGGAAGCAGCCAGCTCAAACTATGCAGCCCTGCCTGCAAGTGAGGATGTGCTCGTCATGGAGAAACGGTTTCCAGGTGGCGGCATCCCACGGAAATGCCACAGGGCTCAGACGCCTTCCTGATAGGAGCGTGCTGACGGAAAAAGCCAGGGAATATTCGAGGCAGGGAGAGACTGACAATGAGCTCCGCAATACTTTCATGCGCTCTGTTGTACCTTTGAGGCTGTAAACGATCTGAAGCACAGCACTTCGAAGCCGTCCAATGGCAAGGACACCAAGAGTGGGAAAGGATATCGTTGATCAAATCTAGTCCTGCTGATGTGACAGGAGCAGAAGTTTGCCGACAATGTTTTTGGTCGTATTGCCGGTCATCGCTATTTCGAAGGGCCTCTCCCTGAGCTTGCTTCGTGTGGGTCTTCGGGCTGTCTGGTTCCGGACCGCCAGCCAGCAGAGACCAGTTGTGGGCAGGGCAACCATGGCGGTGATCTTGGTGAACGCAGTGTGCATAGGAATAGCACGGGGCCCAGAAGCTCAGTAAGTTTTTCTCGGAGTTCTTGGAACTCAGCGGCATCACGTGTCTGAGAGGATGCGGACTATTCTGCCACGAATGATCGGCCTGCGAAGCTCTACGAAGGTCAGCACGTCGGCAAGTTACTGGTAGGTAGCAGGAAAGGCAGGCTGCGCGAGGCTTCTTGAAATCAATCTGAATTGGCTCAAACTGAAGGTAGTTGATGTTGGCGTGTGACAGACGGTTAGACTGCCGCTCACGGCTTGAGCAGCGTAGACTAGTGTCATGGAGTCTGTTGACGTGAAAAGCTCTAGGTACCTCGGAATCCGACGATTTGTTGCCGTGCAGGCATGGCTCTACTGCCAGATTGCTTTGCAGGGCTTACACCACAAGAACTGCAGACTGCGTCAACGTTGTTTCTGAAAGGTCGTGGCATAAAGGACTCAGACTGTGAGGCCATTGTGCCATACTTGAGCCAGAACAGTTCTTTGCGGCAACTTTACATTGGCTACAACGACTTTGGAGACGGTGGTGCAAAGCATCTTTGCCAAGGATTGTCCAGCATACAAGGTGACAAGGCATGACTTGATCAGCCTTTCTGTCCTGTGTGTTTTGGCTACGTCAGTGTTTATGTAGCAAGCTTGGCGCAGGGCCCCCGTTGGAGCTTCAGGGAGAGGTCATGCTTGTCCATTCTTGGCCGTCATGGGTCCCCGGTAAGAGAGCTCCGAGATTAGTGCAACCTGAGGTGGTTGTTTGGAGTTGGTCGGGTTTCGGCACTGCCGCCTGGGCGATCAGGCGGCCGAGGCCGTCGCTGATCTCATCAAGAGCAGTCGGACCTTAGTGGAGCCTTGGTCAAACACAGAAACCAGAATCATCAGCTTGAAACTTGAAGAGGTTGGGCATCTGACCAGGTTACCACTCATCAAGTCTTTAGTTGTGCTGTCCGTCCTACAGTGATTCCACAGTTTTCCAATTCGAGGAAGTTGGAATTGACGAGAACCAGATCACTGATGCTGGTGCAGAAACTCTTGCATGTGCGCTTCAGCACAGCGTATCCCTGCGACATCTCTACATCGGCGAGAACAGGATCTCAAGCACTGGTGAGCAGAAGCTACGAGCCGCAAAGCCGGCCGGCGTCTCACTGCATTTCCAGCGCTAGGGCAGCTAGGGCCGGGATGTCGCGAAGGACAAGGGAGAGACGCGCTGGAAGCCGGTAATAGCACAGGCAGCATGCAGCTACGAGTTCTCTTTGGAATGTCTGCAAACAGGTCCAGCCTTCTTTATCGTCACTGAAGTCTTTTTCGCTGTGTCCGGGTCTTAGAACGGGGAGCACCGGCACCAGGTTAAGGTTCGCGGTTCAAGATGGTATGGAGGCCGCAATGCTGTGAAATTTTCCAACAGGGACGACACAGCAGCGTGTCTCGAGACCCAAGGTTCTTCACAACCGAGCTGGTCGTTCGCTTTCTCGCTTTTAAGCGCAAGTGTGCGCGACCTCGGTGCATGCAAAGCAGACACAGAGGGACACTATATGGCCGTATGCGGACACATGTCAAACTGAGGCTTGTGCTTCTGTGACTTCTGGTTTCTCTTCGACTTCCTTTTGGTCCTGTCGTCGGGTTTGCCCCAAGAGCAACAGTGTCTTGTCGTGCCAGTTGTCCTCTGTAAAGCAGAATTTCAAACTTCTTCCGCTCGCGGAATGCCAGGTTGCCATGATGGATGTGGAGACTTTCATCCTTCCACTCATAGCCAGCTTGGACCCCAGCGCAGCTAGCGAGGGAGTTCTACGCCTTCTTCGCGAATTGTTCGCACCGTGTTTTCTGGGAGCTCGTTTCCCTTCAAAAAACTGAAGCCGAATGCGCTGAGTCCTCTGTCTTGGAATTCGAAGCCCTGTGAAGCTTTAAAATCGAAGGAAGCCTTGAGCTGAACGTGCAAATAAGATGCAAACCACCATGCAACAATCCGGCATGGAGTCCATGGTCCTTGTGCCAGCCGACAGGCGAGGGGGGCCCGCTTGGGATCTTGAGTACCCTGCGGTTGCTGAGACTGTCTATGCCTCAGAAGTAGCCTTGCTTTACACTTCTTTTGTTGAGGTAGGTCAAAGCAGTGAGCCTGACTGAGGTTGCGTGTGAGCAGAATGGCCAAATTGATGAGAACCTTCCCGGAGCTCATGCTCATCGTCAAGGTGGTTTCGGTCGCGGAGTGACCTTTGTCTCCATCTTCCGCGGATGTCTTTTTCGGGATCTCACAGGGCTTGGCCGCGGCTGTCCGCGCCGTGAGTTGGACTCTAGCGCTGCCTGACCCTCGGAGTGGTCCGGTCGCCGTTCAGGTTGCCACAACCGAGTCTGGTTTGAATGAACATTGAGTTTGTCCAAGCCTTCGAGGTTGATGATGATCCTGTTCGTGTGGTCCATAATTTTCACAAGCATCTACCACCAGGGGACAAAGACTGACGAGGACTCATGGGCTTTAAAAAGAGAATCTCGCGCGTACGTGCTTACGTGAATTGACAAGCATCTGTTTCAGTGATCCCATGGCGGAAGGCAAAAGCTTTAGCGGTTGCATGACATGTTCCTTCAGCAGTCTTTACAGGAGGTTGCCGATGGTGTCTTCCCGACTTGTTTGTACAAAAGATCGAAAATCATGTCTTGCTGGCAGCGATACGGGTTTAGAGACTTGTGGCTTTGCTCCCGCGAAGTTAGCATTGAGTTAGAGTCTTGGTGGCAGATCGGGAGCTTGTTCGGCAACATGAGCAAAAGCGCGCAGCAGCCTCGAGGGAGTCTTCGAAGTGAGCGATTGGAAGCCCCGTCTCTTCAAGGTTTTCGCTCATCATCATGGGTACCCTGCTGGATGACGTGACATATTGCTGCAATATGATTCGTGAAAGTGCTTGACTGAGCTGTTCCTGGTTTGCAACATACGGCGGCTAGTTTGATGCGGCAGAACTTTCGACAGAGCTGTAAAGGTGGCCAAATCTTCATGCTTGCAGTGTTCATTGCCGAGTGCTCGGAGATCTCCTGCGAGTAAAAGTTGCCGTAGACCGTGGATTCACAGATGCAGCTCTGTCAGGTGTTCATCGTTATATCCTCCTTCATGATGTTGAACATGCTGCTGGGTATTCTCGTGGAGGTAGTGGCGTCCACGGCTGAAGGCTGGATTCCTTTTTCAAACGACTTTGAAAGGGCTGACTGCTACAACAACTATACTAAAACTACTACTACTACTACTACTACTACTACTACGACTACTACTACTACTACTACTACTACTACTACTACTACTACTCCTACTCCTACTCCTACTCCTACTCCTACTCCTACTACTCCTCCTCCTACTACTACTACTACTACTACTACTACTACTACTACTATTTCTTCTACTACCGCTACCGCTAACGCGACCCCTACCGCTACCGCTGGCCAGTAGTGGTAGCAGCAGTAGCAGTAGCAGTAGCAGCAGCAGGAGGAGCAGGAGCAGGAGCAGGCGCAGTCGCAGTGGCATCAGCAGCAGCAGAGGTAGCAGTAGAAGCAGCAGTAGCAGTAGCAGTAGCAGTAGCAGTAGCGTAGCAGTAGCAGTAGCAGTAGCAGTAGCAGTAGCAGTAGCAGGAGCAGGAGCAGGAGCAGGAGCAGGAGCAGGAGCAGGAGCAGTTGCAGTAGCAGTAGCAGTACTAGTAGTAGTAGTAGTAGTAGTAGTAGTAGTAGTAGTAGTAGTAGCAGTAGCAGTAGCAGTAGCAGTAGCAGTAGCAGTAGCAGTAGCAGTAGCAGTAGCAGTAGCAGTAGTAGTCGTAGTAGTAGTAGCAGTAGGAGTAGTAATAGCAGTAGCAGCTGCATTAAAGCAGTAGCAGTAGCAGTAGCAGTAGCAGTACTAGTAGTGGTAGTAGTAGTAGTAGTAGTAGGAGGAGGAGGAGGAGGAGGAGTAGTAATAGCTGTAGCAGTAGCAGTAGCCGTAGCAGTAGCAGTAGCAGTAGCAGTACTGGTAGTGGCAGTAGTAGTAGGAGGAGTAGTAATAGCAGTAGCAGCTGCATCAAAGCAGTAGCAGTAGCCGTAGCAGTAGCAGTACTAGTAGTGGTAGTAGTAGTAGTAGTAGTAGGAGGAGGAGGAGTAGTAATAGCTGTAGCAGTAGCAGTAGCCGTAGCAGTAGCAGTAGCAGTACTGGTAGTGGCAGTAGTAGTAGGAGGAGTAGTAATAGCAGTAACAGCTGCATTAAAGCAGTAGCCGTAGCCGTAGCAGTAGCAGTACTACTAGTGGTAGTAGTAGTTGTAGTAGCAGTAGTAGTAGTAGTAGTAGTAATAGCAGCAGTAGTAGTAGTAGTAGTAGTAGTAGTAGTAGTAGGAGTAGTAGTAATACCAGTAGCAGTAGCAGTAGCAGCAGCCGTAGCCGTAGCAGTAGCCGTAGCCGTAGTCGTAGCAGTAGCCGTAGCAGTAGCAGTAGCAGCAGCAGCAGCAGCAGCTGCTGAGAGGCAATACGCCCTGCAAATGATATCAGTCTTCCCGGTCGCCGACGAAGGCATATATTGCAATCTATCCACAACCCGCCTCGCTTTCTGCCAACCATTGCTTCTCGCTTCCACCGAGAAATTCGCCATCGTTTGGAAATTGACGCCCAACCCAGCAGAGTTTTTGCAACTCCAAACGGCATCCCATCAGGATCGATGCTTCCTAGCAGTAGCAGGAGGAGGAGTAGTAGTTGTTGTTGTACTTGTAGCTGTTGTTGTAGTCGTAGTCGTAACCGTAGTGGTGACATCTGTTCCATGTGCGCGTTTGAGCTGCAGCATATGCCATACATAAGCTCCCAAAGCTTGACGCTTTGTTGCTGACGAACAATCGACACCGATTGTGTGCTTTGGCTACTGAGTTCTGGCCGCTATTTCTGCTGTAGCTGCTGTTGTCGCTGCCCTACTTGTCTAGTCTCTCTCATATCTTGCCCTTCCGCACAGTCCTTCTTCCCTTTCTGGTCTTAGTAGCGACGGTCTCCATTCTAGTTCGGTTCCAGGTACCAGTCGTGAAAGGTCGTCATCTGTTGATAAACGGCCACATTGGTCTTCCGCGAGTCTTTCCACTTGCGATGCTGCGACTGTAGTTAACGTATGCTTCGGGCGATCGTGGCAGGTGAAAAGCACAAAGAGAAGAATGGCACCGTGCGCGAGGATGGAACTCTACATTATGACATACGACATGACTACTCGACTAGACTTTGGAGTTGACATGGCGGTTTGTTTAAAGTTCCTTTCCAAGGTGCAGCCAGAGAGTACACTTCCTTCAGGAAATCTACCTTACAGCTGTTCGTGGACATGCATGAGAGAGGTGTGTTTCGCGACTGCAAGGTACCCCATGCAAAATCAGGTCGTAGTAGTTGTAAGAAGTTTGCTCGGCATGCGGCTGAAGTGTGGTTGGTCCTGCAAACAAGCTTCACACTTGCTCGCTGTTGTGCTCTGTCCAGACCTTCTCGCGAGTGGCATTGATGGGGGCATACCTGAATAGAAGAAATTTTCCGAATCACAAGGACAAACCTCACAGTTGCTAGAACCTGCACCCCTTCGGTCCAAGTCTTGATCTGCACAAAAAGCAGGCCATGGCTTCCGTGCTGAACGACCTGGGAGTCGGGAATCAGGGCATCACGCGTGAGAAGTTCATGCCGCTCAGCCGAAGTTGGAATTGCTGTATGACCTTCTTCGGAGCGGAGTCGTGGCCCGTCCTTCCACCCGAACCGCCCAACCGTGAAAAGCAGCAAGGCAGGCCTAGCAACGTTGTGGTGAAACGCGGTTAGCGTGGTCCTCATTCTCTGAGTATCTGTGTACAACAAGCAGCTCCTGCGGGCTTACACTCACCGGTTAAAGTGGCCGGATGTGGACCCGAAATGGAAGTGTGTTTGCGGGAGCACCAACAAAGGAGCAGGAAGCTTCCAGTCAGTTTCCAAGCACTTTCAAGCCTTCCGCACTGCAGAGGTCGATGAGCAATGATCCAAAGTTGTTGAAAGACCTACAGGACAGAGACGCAGCATGCTTTTGTCGTCCGGTCATGGCAGAGTTGTCCGGTTTGCATTCTTGACTTCGCAACGTTCAGGAGCTGGGCATTAAGCAGAAGCAATTCGAGCAGATCACCAAGCTCCTCTATGACAGTAAGGTCCGCCCAGCATGTTAAGCGGTTGAAAACCATGTGCAGTGGAGGGATCCCACCTTCTGGACGGAGTACGCCGGATGTGCGTGTTCGGTGCTTAGTGGGCCGGCCAACTCGGGCGGTGGACGCTCCACTTCACCTGCTCTGGTAAAATGCCGCCAATAGTGTTGATTGTTTTAAATCGTGGTCGATCTGGGGCTCACCACTCCCGACATAGTAGATTTGCCCGTGATTGTAGTTTCTGGCTACTTTTCCGCGGACGGATTTCCGCGAACGCACTCTGTTCGGAGTACCTGCGAGTCATGATTGTTGTGGATGACTAGAAAGATCACGGCGTCACGTCTGCAAGGGGTCTCCTTCTCTTCCTGAAACTGGTGTGGTATCCTGTAAATCCAAGTTGAAGTTTGCTTAGTTCACACATTTCGACTGGACTTCCTCCTTGCCCGGCTGCCGATCTTCTGATTGGACGTTCTGGAGGCGGATGACGAAGGAATCCGCAGGACCTCGACCCTTTACGGCGCTTCGTACGACCGGCCTCCGGGTCTTTCGTGCCGAGGATTGTCGGCGCTGTCGCGGATTGCGCCCTTGAAATCAAAGACGATGGGCACAGTCCGAGTTTACCTGCATTGTGACTTCTTCATGATCTTTTCACCGGTTTCGAACTGTGGCAATCCCGCCATTTTTGCCAGGAGGCTGAGGGTGGCAAGGATGAAACCCACAGAGTTCTGACCGGTGAGGAGTCCCAACATTGCAAGTCGGCCTCCCTGAAGATGCTGTGTACAGCGTGCATTCTGCAAGGCAGCAGTGAGTGATTGACAACTGCGCTTCATGTGTGCATGCAGGAGATCGTAAGCGAACTCTTCCGACTTCAGCCCGGGACTGCGCTGAACTTCTCCGACCTGGCGACAACGGAGAAGGCGCCGAATGACCGGATGCTTCAGCATTTCGTGACTTTCTGGGCTCGGATTTGAATCCGTGGCTGTGGGTGTGCGCCGGCAATGCGACAAGACGATGCATGATGACGTCCATGTCCTGCTCATGCCTTGCAAACATCCCCTTAGCCACAGCGGTTGGTTTTGGACTGACTTGGACGTCCTTCAACTTCTCGCGTGTACCGTGGCACGCCGTGGGCAGAAACTCCTCGAGCAGCGCAAAGACATACGCAAGCGAATCGGTCACGACCCCAGGACCCCAAAAGTATCTCCACATGGCGTTTACATCCCTAAGGTCGCATCGAGGAACTCCTCGCCATTGGCTTGGGCAGGTCCGGTCCGGCACAAAGCGCGCTCCGAGCTCAGTTTTCGTGCAGGGCGCGCTCCTTGCTTCCTTCTGGTCCTGGACCGAGGTCGTGCGGTTTGGTCCTCGAAAGTCCTTGGCTCAGAGATGTCCAGAGGCTCTGCGTGGCTCCAGTTTACGTGACAGCACACAGAAGGAAGCGAATGTGCCAAGGCATTGGCCCATCAAGGCCAATGAGTCCAATGCCGCTGACGCCCTTGAGCCAGATGAGCCCTGCAAGCCCGTCGAGACCGAGGCCTCCTGCCAAGACTTCGTCGTTAGCGTACAAGCTCGACAAGACTGCTCTGTCGACAGCTTTGTTGGCTTGCACTTCGGAGGAACGCAATGGCACCGACGTTCGAGTTGCAGGAGCTGTTCCGTGACAGACCACCAATGACATCAACAGAACATGCAAGTCCTGCGTTCATTCTGCACTCGCGCCTTGCAGGAGGGGGACTCCTCACCAGGCCCCAGTGCACCATGTGTTCTATAGACTTGCATCCAAGCAAGGGTTTCTACGGCTGGCTCTCCTCTGCCAGATCGTGTGGCAAATGCCAGCTCCGCCATGCTGCAGCGGCTTGCGAGGCTCGCAATTCCTTGAAGTCCTGCAAGCTTCGCTGATATGTCACGTGTTTCCTATATGCAGTATTTAAATCGTTCTTAAACCGTGAACTCAAAGAAGCTGCTCGCTGCGAAGGGGATAAGCGAGTAAACTTGCATTGGCCTCATGAGCAGCATGAAAACAAGAAACGGCAAGACCAGAACTTGGAGCACGGTGTCGCAATCGGTCTTGAGCTCGAGACTCAGAGCGGTTGCCCAACAGATCCCGCGGGGCATTTCCGGGAGCGAAAAGAGCCATGCGACATCGTATTGGCAATTTCTGTTCCAGATGTCGGCCGGGCTAAACCGTGATACAAACATTGCTGTGAACAGTGGAAGCGAGGTACAAAGAAAGTCTTGTCCATAGAGCGACCTGACAAGACCAGACCAAACCAATGCTGTAGAAATGTGGTGGTTCCTGTCGTCTTCTGAGAGGATCGAATCTCGGACGATCATCGAGGAGATCCGCCGAAGGCTTGGGCTCAAGGACTGCTTCGCTGCGCGATAGTCTCCGCAAGGGATATCCCAGGAGTTTTTGTGTGGGACATTCCCGGGGCAAACTGCCAGGATCTGGGGGCCGTCGGTGTTTACCCGGACTGGTGCGAGGACGACCAGGCCCTTTCAACTTGCAAGTTTCTGGGACGCAGCCATTTGTTGTGCTACGATTGCATAAGAGTATTATGGCAGTGTCGGCTGAGATTGACACCTTTTGTCATTGTGAGGGCTTCCTGGCCGTGCACCGAACGAATTTCGTGTAGAGTGCGCAAGCATGACAAAAGCAGCAAGGATTCCTGCAGCAACAACATTTTGACACTCGGTAAGTTGATTTGGTGTATTCTGCCAAGGTTGAAAGAAACCGTCATGTCTTCTGAGAATTGAGTACCGCCAGTCTCGAGGTTGCTTGCACCCTCGTGCATGCCGTAAAGAGTGTCTTACTCGGCGTGCAACATTGCACTTCGTACATGTGGCCGGAGCACCATGCCCGCAACGAGTTTAGAGACCTGACTTTCGTGGCCGTTGATGCAAAGTGTCTTAGACTCCTGTAAAAGGGCCAGAGGAAAAGCATTAGCTTGAAGAAGCTGTGACACTCAACACGAAAGTCTTGGTGGAGTTGCTGGGGCGTCAGAGGCCCCAGCTGGCGTTTGCCATGTCAGTTCCTGTAGTCCTTCTGGCTGCGAAAATGGCAATTGTGGTCCAATCTCCCAAGGAGAGTCATGGACTTAATTTGTGCACTAGTTCTTTACAGTTTCGCGGCGGCGCGAGTCCGTAACATTGCGAAGCATGCAGCATGGCACACAGACACACCAGAGCCTCTTTGAGGCTGTTTCTTTGTGCTGAGTGCCAGAGGCCAGCCTGACTCGGCATCTGCCACCGCCTGAAGTGGTCAATGCTCAAAAGGCGCCGGACATTCCGCATTCCTCATGCCTCACCTTTCCTGTCTGCCAGAGGAGCAGAACTACAGGGAAGTTGACGAGCAGCTGCAGCAAGCGCAGCTTTTGCTTGAGGAGCACGTTCTCGCAATGCCAAGCATGCTGAAGCTATTCCATGCAATGTTCAAGGCGATACAGCATCTGATAAACGTAGTCCAAGAAGGTCGCAGCTGTCTATCCATGTGACAGACGGTCTCCGAACAGGCACAGCCGCAGCACGGGACCATTTCGGCAACCGTCAAGCCACGGTGAAGGCAAAAGACCACGCAAGACAATTCAATCACAGGGCCCAATTATGCGCAATCGAAGAGGCGGGTCTGTTGGAGTTGCAATCTTTCATATGGAGTGAGAATGTACGACGCATGTGAGGATAGACTTGCATGGGTGCGGTCGGTTTCAGAACGGGAACTTTCCGAACAACTTGTGAAGGGTGGTTTGTTGCCGTTCCAGAGTCGCGAGCAGTGGCCGCCTGGTGCCATGCACGGCCGAATGTCGGCTTGAGATTCTGACACACGTACAATCCTAGCATGCTTGGTTTGAAGCCATTGGTCTCAGTCCTTGACCAATCAGCGTAACTTCATGGCGTAACTTGATGGACATTATGACGATGAACAAACATAGTTGCTTTCGTATTCGGTTTGTTTTCAAGTTAGGCAAACGAGCTTGGGTGTTAGGTAGCTGGAGCAACATGCCACATGCATATGTTCACTAGGATCCATGCCTGCTTGGCTTTGTACGCATGAGGAGCAGACCAAGCGAGAGAAGGAGTATCTGAGAGCGCAAGCGACGCAGGCTCAAGAGGCAGCTTGAAGATAGCTTCTCCGAATAGCTGCTCGAGTAGGGGTTTGAAACCCTCAATCCATTGCTATCGTTGTCAAGGTACTGGCGGGACGCTGGGATCAGCACTTGCGTGCGCAGGAGTTGCCGGCGACGGGAGGGAGGGCAATGGTTAGGTGGAGTCTCGTAAACAGCGGATGCAGGACAATTTTGCACGGCTAAGTTTCTTCCGCGGAGCTTCGGTTTCTTCAGAGTTCTTCGTGTTTCTTCTCCAGAGAAAAGAGGTCGCGATCTACAAAGCGCTTTCAGGAGATTTCTGCGGAGCAAGACTTTCAGAAATCCCTTGCACAGCTCCACGAGGCACTATAGTCGGTTCCTTTGCAGGCGTCGGATAAACTTGAAGCGCCGGGGAGTTTGCGAGTCCTCGCGGATGATGCGGCTGAAGCTGGAGGAACAGGCCACTTTCACTTTTCGATTCAATGCTCTTCCGAGACAAGGATCAGCCAGAGGAATGCCATGCTTTGTTTTGAATGCAGTGCCCAGCGGCCCACCCAGGCTTGCAGGAGTTCGAGTAGTTTCTGTTTCGAGGAAGAGCTCCGAGGCGACGGAGGGTTACCAACTCAGCAGCTCACGGCTGACGCGAGGCTTCCCAGCTTGTCATCGAGTATCAAACGAGACGGACACAGGAGGAGCTGCAGCTGTGAGGATGCTTCGCATTGCTTCGTGTTCTAGGCTTTGTCATTCCAAGTTGTGTGTACTCGGCCCGCTACTGTGCTGGAAGCTTGCGGAGGAGATCAACCGTCACAAGCATGAAGTAGAACTCCATCACTGGGAGGTGCTCCTCGCAACTCTCCGCATCCCAGTTCACGAAGTATGCCGCATACGTTTGAAAGATGCATCTTGACGGCTTGTCGAGTCTCGATAAGCCGACTGAGAGCCGTTTTCCCTTTCACGGCCTGTTCGCTCGGCTTTTCCGGTAGCGCGGCTGTTCCGCAGCCTTTGCCTCGCCCTGCGCTGCGGCGCTGCGCTGCGGCGCTGCGGCGCTGCATTGCCGGAGGCTTAGCACAGCTGCCTCGCAACGGTCTTTCTTCCCGCTGCGTCTGCACCTCTTTTGCAGGCTTGAACAGAAGACGCGGCTTTCACAGGACCAGCGTCCTACAGCATGCTCGATGCGAAGCCAGCATGCGAACACATAAGGGCAGGCGTCAGGCCAGTAAAATATGCATATTTGCTGCATGTCCATCTTGAAGCTGTTTCGGGGTAACCGGCCCAAGCATTCCAGAGACAGTTGCAGCACATAACAGGCAGCAAGCCAGTGCCAGATGTGACCTTGATGATGAACGCCTACTTCTGCACGCCTCATGGAATTGTAATCGATCCGCATGCAGCGACGACTTTGTCCTCAGTCGCTGCCAGAGACATCATGCGGCTCTCCAGACCATCCCATATCGAGTACTACAGGGTAACCGCAGTACGAAGTCAGAAGGCTCCGAGCATGCAGGTGTGTTGATGCAGTTGCAGTCGGATCCATTTGCTGCCAGGGCACTGCCGAGCGCCTACACACAGTTCGCGGCTGCTCTTTGGCTGCGGATACCGAGAAACTGCAGTCACAACCTGCAGAAGCGGCATCCGTCTTTGTGCTTCCAGGCGAGGATCCGCCCAAACAAGTGTGACAGAGTACGCCATCCCTTTTCTAAGCACGGGTTTGACACCGCTGGCAGCACCCTGCATAACCTCACCTTAGCAAGAGACTGAACCTGCTGTTCGCTTACAGGCTTTCCGAAGCAACCACATGTCGCATGTGGAACTCAAGCCTTCTCGAGCACAATACCATTAATACCATGTGCTCGGCACTTTGAACAAAGAACTGTGGTATCTGCGGCTGTCGTTCTGTGCTTATGGGCTTAACCTTCACTTTCTGCAGGTGTCTGTGTTATCTTCACATGTATGACGGGTGCTCATGGTCATTTTTGATTCGGAGCTGCTTTCTGGCTGGGCCGCGACTCAACAAGTCCTTGTTGTATTTTGCAGGAACGGTTTTGCTTTTGCGCGAGTGAGCCTTTCCAGTGTCCCGTCTTGAGAGATGTTTGTTGAATTGGTTGCCTGCTGTCGCAGGTGCTTTGCAGCCGCGGGAATGGCTCGGCTTTGGAGGGAGCTTTACAGAAGCTGCGGCAGAGACATTTCGGCGGATGAGTGCACCAAAGCGCCTTGGTCCAGCTATTGCAACTATCGTCAGTGTGGTTTTCCGAGCAACCAGCTGAATCTCAGGCAGTCGCAGATCATCCACGCATACTTCGATACTCGAAGCGGCCTGGGTTACTCCTTGGGTCGTGTCCCCATCGGGTCTTGCGACTTCAGCCTCGGGCACTGGACTTGTGGAGATTTTTCAGAGTCTCTGCAAGGCCGGGAGCCGGCACACCCTACCTAGGAAGATGTAGGGCAGTGACAGGTTCAGCGCTTCTTTTCGGTCTGTGCGCAGCAGGTTTCAGTCTCATGCGCTACGAAGTCGCCATCCTGCCCATGATCAGAGCTGCGATGCAGCTGGGGCCCATGTCGCTCCTCGCGAGCCCTTGGAGTCCCCCTCCGTGGATGAAGAGCAATGGCAGGTATAACTTTGGAGGCAAACTTTTGCCTCAGTATCGCGCCCCCTGGTCTCAACACTTTGTGCAGTTTGCAGAAGAGATGGCTTCCCGCGGCGTTCCGCTTTGGGGCATTTCTGTCCAGAATGAGCCGGAAGCTGCCACTCCCTGGGAATCCTGTGAATGGACAGGCGATGAAGAGGCATCTTTCATCCGCGACTTTCTGGGCCCTGCGCTGCGCAAAGCAAAGCTGGACCTAAAGATCGTTGCATGGGATCACAACAGAGATGGCATGTTGCAGCGTGCAGCATGCATTTACAGCGATCCAGATGTCTCCGAGTACGTCTGGGGAATTGGCTATCACTGGTGCTTGGACAGATTAGATGATAGTTGCAGTCCTAGTGTCATAGTGATCAATGAGAATCACTGAAAGCGAGTCCTTGGAATCGGTTCATGGTCTGAATCCAGTTCTCTGCGCAAAGGTATGGGGACCCACGCTTCGAGTGGTGGCCGGGACGTGCAGAGGCACATCTCCCGGCGAGCTTTGGGTTTCGATTTGGGCCCGGGAGTGAAAGCACCAAGAGCTGGCATCATTTCTTACCAGGTGAACTTCGAGGATGCGCTGCGGGTCCTCGCAGCAGATAGGAAGCTTCCGGCGCCGGTGGGGCAGGGCACATTGAGAGTCTCCCCGAAATGTCATGTCGATGCACCGCAGGTGATGAAGGTCTTGGCGGGCTCTAAGCACCTGGAAGGCGCTATGTACCTTGGCTTCGAAAGTCCAGACGCTTTCAACCTGTCAGCTGTGGTCGCTCAGGCACTTTCCGGAGCTTCGTGGCCGACTTTGCCTGGACAGCGTTCGGCAGACCGCAGAGCTGAGGCAAGAATCCAGTCGCTTGTTTTCAAAGCCTCTTATGATGAATGTGTTGTTATAGCTTCCATGGTCAGTGTATACTAGTGTTGCTCTTGCTGCTAAAGCGTTTGGTTCTGCTCCTTGGCAAGAGTGCTTAACAAAGCACTCGCCGTGTAGCATAGAATCGTAGAGCCAGAAACACCTGAACATGGGACAAGTTGACGGAAAGTCCGGAACACCTGGAAAGCGAGAGATGTAGGGACGAAGACACCGGACACCAAGATTCCTGAACAATGAGAAAGCATGAGCGCTGGAGGCACCATGCGGAGCACCAGAGCCAGGCAAATCGAATCGGCAAGGCGCCTAAGACCGGAACAAACAGTCCGAGGCACAAGTGGAATCTGGGATCACGATGTTACGATAGCCGGGACACTTGGAGATTGGAGACGCTGAAATACCCGCCGGGCACAACGATGAAACTCAGGATGCTGGCACACATTGGAACATCGAGGCACCGCGGAACTCGGACACTCGGACACCAAGCTGCCAAAACCTGAGACCGAGATACGTGAAGCGAAGGTGCGGATGCAGGGAAGTTAAGTCGGGACAGCAGTGTGCGCTGCATTAACTATTGCAATTGAGTATGATTAGGTTGAATGATCGAACGCGCCAAGCACATCTTTTTGTATTCCAAGGGAAGTTCTTGTTTCACCAGCATCTTTTCGATGCCAGCGCTCTATGCCCCAGGCCCCAAACGGTAGCTTTCCGAACTGTTTCTTTTACACGTGATTGGTTGCATTATGTACGTACGCAGATGATGCATTCTCTTGTTGTGGTATGCGTTCATCAACTAGCTACTAGTTAGCTGATAGCTAATTTTGTTTCCATTGCCAGGCCCGACAAGCATCTGCTCTTCACAGAGGGCTGCCAAGAGCTTGGGGGAAGAAGCTTAAGCTCCATGTTGGAAAGTTGGAAGGTAGCTTGATCTACTGCCAGAAGGCTTTCATTTTTCGATGAATCCTGCTCGATGCCCCTAAAACCCTCCGGTTCATAGAAACACGACCTTAGCGTTTTTGATACTGTCTCTCGCAAATAAGACGGGGGAACGCTATGGCATGAACATCATTGCCGACCTCAACTCCGGCTGCGAGGGCTGGATAGACTGGAATCTGTGCCTGGACGAGCTGGGCGGTCGCCTCGCCTGCAATTGGCCGCAGCACGCACGGCTCTTCAAGCTTTAGGAGCCAGCGGTGGGGCGGCATCGAGCACGAGTCGTCTGCGTGAGTCGTGAGGCCCCAACCACGCGGGGAACTTTTGCCTCGCTCCCATCATTTGTGATACACGAACAGACGAAGTCCTGCTGCAGCCTTCATACTGGTTCCTGGGCCACTTTGCCAGGCGTGGCCATGCTGCCACGTTGTATGGAACATTCAGACTGGATACGCCGTAACACTGCAGCCTGCACGGCAGCCTGAACGTGTTGCGCGTTTTCGCGCTTTGCAGGTACATTCGGCCTGGGGCTCGACGCGTGCTTTGCAGCTCGAGCCGAGATCTCCTGGAATGCACGGCATGGCGCAATTTGGACGACACCCTGTCGATCGTGGTCGCTTTCTTGCACGAGCTGGAAAAGCTGCATAATTAACAGTTTCTCTAGATATGAGACTTGCAGATCAACTTTTGGTCCCACAGGCATAAAGATCGTTTTCTGTGTTGTCACCTCCGGGTTCTCCTTTGTTGGCGATAAATCGGTTTGCTGGCCCGGTGCATGGTCTGGCTGTTCTCTAAGCTTCAAGATGCTGTGGACGGATGACAAGACTGTCGCATGTTGAGGTGATGAATCAGTCGGAGAGCAGCCTGGAGTTCACGCTGAGGCATCTTGACACTGCCTTGTTTGGCTGAGTCTTCGCGTGACTTGCCAGGATTGCTGGCTCGGGTGCCATCATGACAGAGGCACCGTCACACTCCATCACAACTTTTGTTGATACTCGGCAGCATATATCAGCATTGCACACGCGGCTGGGGGAAGGACACTAAGATGCACGGCCAACCAAGGTGGAGAGTGGTGCATCCCGCTTGTAGAACTGGAAATCGAAGCGCGTGAGGGGCGGAGCGTTCTCAAGTTCCAGGGTTTGCGCAGAGTGCGGTGCACCTTGCAATGCATGAGGATTTGGCCAAAGGACATTTGCCTACCCTCGGTCAATGCGTGGCCTTCGAACAAAAGGGAGCTTTCGAAGCACTTCTCCGAAGAACTACAGCCAGCACAAAGTGCACTTGTGGCACTTGATTACCTTGTCAATGCTTGCTTGGCACAATCATGTCTCGACATGCTAATAATATTCGGACATCCACATGATTGGTTCAGTAATCGGTGAGATCAAGCAAAGCTAGTGCTAGTGCTACCTGTTCCAGATTGTTCCAGCAAGCTTGAGAGGCTAGCCTTTCAGCACAATTGCTGCTGCAGGACACCGCTTCTGCTGGGCCGGCCTGTTTTGATTTGTTGGAGGTCTCCTCAGCAGGTGAGGTGTAGCACTGGGCAGATGTCGTCAATCATCTTTTCACAGCTTGCATGATTTCTTACCTGCAGCTGTTCGGCTTGTATCTTCGCTTATCCTCCTAACTCCTTATGTGCACACAGGTCATCTTACAGCTGCCCCAAACCATCCCAAACCTGACGGGGCAGAAGACATTTCTGTTCCGAAGAGTTGAAGCCATGACGGTTGGAATGTCGAGAAGTTTGTGAGTGCTCGTGTATGAAAGTCAGCCAGCACCACGCTTAGCCTTAATGTCCCCCTGCTTGGCCGCGGCCCCAGCAAGCCAGGCTACTTCGTGTGGAGCTAGCTGCTAGGCTTTAGGCGGAGGCGAGCAGCAGCAGCAGCAGCAGCAGCAGCAGCAGCAGAAGTCATGAAAGGTCACAAAGGCAGACCCGGTCAGCCTCGCTTCGAGGTCGGAAGGCGTCGTCCACCATGACAGCGTGAGATCCTCACTTTTCGAGTGACAGGTGTCTTCAGGGCTGACCACGGCTATCTTGTCCAATACTGTTAGTGACTGGGTTATCATGTTGGATACACATTCATCCCTAGTCTAACTAGTCGAGGGCAGCGGTTCACCGGCCATGTTGCACTGCTTCCCATTCCCATGTTTGACAGAAAAACGGGCCGGGAACATGTGAAGCTGAAGCTGGGTTGCAGGCTCAGCGTGGCAAGTCTCGCTCACTGCCATTGATTGATCTAGCCCAGAAATGCGAGAGTCAGTTTGTCACAGTTAGTCCTCCCATTCCATCTCCAGGCTAATGCGAAACAGGTTCGTTCCCCCCATCATTGGGCTCGCCTGGTGAAAGACTGCATCTGAGAACTGCTCAAGTCTATTGGGAATTGTCACGAGTCTCTCGTTCACGAAGTTGAAGACTGGCCAGTCACCGAAGGGATGCTAAGAAGTCACCATCGGCGTTCCGTTTTCCTCGAGTCTTGCTGCCGCTTGAGGCCACAGCTCTTGTCGATCGCTCCATGGCTTCCAGAGAGGCAGAAGAAGTGAGCAATCTTGCACAATCCCTTCGCCATCATGATCCTTTCTCGTCGCAGGTGCTGTAGAAGTTAAAAGTGGGTTTTGGTGTTGTGTTGTGCTAGCGCGATTGGTACTTCCCCTCGCATCTTTTCCATCGCGACAGAAAGCAACAGCGAACCAGTGAAAGACACAAGGGAAGACTAAGAACAGCAGGACACTGATACAAGCCGTCCCAAGTCGTTGCACTTTCCTGGCAATGCGACCCGGCACAGCTTGTATCTTAAAACAATGCACCCTAAGCTGCCCTAAGCCTCAAAACAGGCGCTAGACGTCTGGGGCTTGTCTTCTGTTCCGAACCTCGATACCTTGTTCAGACTATTGGGCTCAGCTTAGGACTTGTTTTGCGAGTTTGTCCTAATCCAAGGGGTCATTTAACGTGGGTCTGAGGGCTCATAGACTCGGGTTGAGCGGAGTGATCCTTCGGAGAGGGAACGCGTCGAAGCCAAGCTGGGTTGTAGGTTTAGGGTTTGGGGTTTCAGCGTTTCAGCTTTAATCAGCATTCAAGCCTTATCCTAACCTCGTCCAACTTTCAATCGTTCAGCCCACGAAGCCTAGTGTCAATCAGATTTCGGGCGTTGCTCTGCTGCGCCATACCCCCAGAAGAGAAGCACGGCCATGCAATGCTTTTCGACGCTGCAGGTCTCGTCCCGGGAGATGTAGACTGGGCTTGCGGCCTTCTCAGAACTGTGTTGAGGGCTGTGGTGAGCTTCGCCTGGACTCCGCTTGTAAGATTGTTTTGCAGGCGGTATGTGGTCGGAGTCGTCCTTTCCATCCTTCTGCTGATCCTCACCTGCATCAGATAGCAGACTCGATAAGAACGACAATCCGGTAGCATCATGATTCATGATTGATTCGCAGGAGGGAGGGGTTGCAGCACAATCTGAGCTCATTGTGACAAGTTGCGGTTCCAGACGGCCTTGTAGACTGCATCGGGCAGCCAGCCTTTACCCCTCCCGTTTCCTTCTGCACAGGATATACATGCTGGTCGTGGGTTTACTGCTGCTGCTGCTATCCATCCCGAGGCGGATGGGTGTGACCCAAGCAAATGCCTGTGGCATGTCGAGGAAGCCGCTTGAGAACACCTTTGAAGCGCTCCGCTTCCAGGTTCCTGCTGCGCCTTTTGCTGCAACCAGCTCTCGGCTACTTTGGGCACATCGTGGAGTATGCCTACACGCTGAGGCGCTTGCCACCGTTTGTTCTCGTAGGCTGCGTTGCAAGGGTGGCTCCCACCAGCGATTGCAAGTGCTGTCAAGGATATGCAAGCTGCACGTGAAGCTCTCCCGCGCTGTTCAGAAGAAATGGTTGAGGTGCATCCCGTGATGTGATGTAGTCCACATGGGGGCTGAGTGCTGGTCTTCCATTACTTCGGCTCTACTTCATTTGCCACCTCGAGTGTACCTGCTCTGGATGATCCCGCGGCCCGACCGAGACACCCTGTTTTCTGTCATCAAGCAGTTGTTATCCGTGCATTCGTTTGCCTGGACAGCAGCAGGCGCCCTTACCATAGCCGCTTCAGTGACATCCGCACTCGCCTTTATCCCTCTGATGGAGGAGCAGCCTGGCCGAAACTAGGGCACCTTCGACAGTGTGCAGTGAGCCCTGCCGTGGCGTCGTGGCCTGTTTCCATCGCACGAGGTATGCCATGTCCATGCAGTTCCTTGCCTCACCGACAACTTCTGCTACGTTCTGGTGTCTGAGGCATCAGGAAAACGTCTTTTTCGCAGTTGCGCGGACTCGAGTGTCTTTCACCTCGCAGGGCCTTGGCGAAGCGAGGAGTCACAATGGCCTCAGGCTGCCGCCTGAGGAGAGTCTCAGACTGTCTGAGACACTTCTAGCATGCTGCTCGTGCTTGTCTCCCAGGCAAGGTTTGGCTGCAGTGGTGGTCGACCCTTGCGATGCTGCTGCCGTAGAGGACCTCTGCCCGGAGCGGAGAAGGGCTTCTTGGGATACTGGTGCCCATTCAGGAGGCCCTCGAGCACATTGCCGAGACCTTCTATGCTGGCTATGGTGGCCTTCGATTGGAAGGGGTCCCTCGAATCCACTCGGCCGACTTCACTTCCGTGTACCGAAACTGTTCCAGGTCTTGTGCACGCACAAGCATTGGGACCATGCTGGTGCCTGCCCCGGTACCCAAAATGCTGACGTGTTGGGTGCCAGCCTCCGCGCTCTCAGGAGGCAACGAGGAGCTCGCTGCCCGGGCATCGCAGACACAGAGCTGCACAGCAACCGGCCCGCACTCGCTCGGGCCGGCTAGGGCTAGGCCAGGGCCAGGGCCAGGGGGCTTATATGGGCTTATAGCCTGGGCTTTGAGTAGCTCGTGCAGGTACTTGGCACTGGGGGCCGGATTTGTGTGCTGGAGAGTCTTCCGTAGTGCTCTCGATGAACCTGCCCTCCATTTGTCTAGCCCTAGCAAGGTTGTGCTGATAGCAACTCTGGCGAATCTCAGGATTCCGCCACGGAGTCTGAGTCCCAAGACGTGACCGCCCCGCAGCTATTGCATTTTGCCGAGAAGCTGAAAGTGTTCGGAGGCTCCCAAGTGTGATTTGTTGATGGTCGAGTCTCTGTTACAGTGCAGACATTGCCGTTTACTTGCAGGGCTGGAAGACGATGTTCCTGGCTGCACTGATCCCGTGCCCGGACTCATGTTCGAGGCCTTCTCCACTCGCTCAGTGTGGAGACAATTGGCAGCAGGTGCAGCATCTGGACTGCATCGAGATTGCCAACCTCAGCTTCCAGGCTTTGGAGCTGCTTCAGTGCAAGTCACAGCAAGCATTCGCTTCTGAAGCTGAGAGATGGATCGAAGTAGACGAAGGGGAGTGGTGGGGATCTGTGAGGCGATCGGCGCCCCAGGCCACACGCAGGGGAGCGTGATGTTTCGATTGGCGTGCAAGGCAAGGCATGGCAAAATGGCGAGTGGCTTGGGCAGTTGGCCAATTGCAACACTGTGAAGGCCCAGCCTTCGGAGACGGACATCGAGCGAGCCTTGCCTGAGATTCAAGTTCTTTCAATTGTTCCGAACGTTCTCTGGATATGCGGAGCTTTTAGAGTCTTCGGAAGCCTCCAAGCTTACGAGGTCAGGATGCCCTTTTCACCGGTGACACCCTCTTTTCTGGTGGGTGTGGTGCTAACTTCGAGGGCAGCGAGTTGGACATGGAGCACTGCTTTGGCACCATACTGGACACGAGCCCCTGCTTCGCTCGGTGCAATCGGTGATGCTGGCGACGATCTGCCGTGCAGGAGACCTGTGAACCGAGCTACAAGACGTGGCTCTTCCCAGGTCACGATACTCGGCCAAAACCCAACATGTTTACAGCATGTCCAGATGTCCCCGCATCAAGCCCTTGTCACGAAGGAATACACGTGCATGCTGATGGAGAATGCTGTGGTGGAGGCATTGGGGATTAGCTCCTAGCTCCCTGAGTCGATAGTCCTGTGCAGAGCCGTCCAGGCTTGCGACAAAGCGGCTTCGCGTCCTCCAGGGTGCCTTGTCCAAGGAAGCCAAGATAAGCCAAGCTTTGGAGCCCTGTGCGAGCACGTCCCTGTACAGACTTGGTTCTGAGTTGTAGGCAAACGAACTATCGGGCACACTGTTTAGTTTTTTTATGCGAGGTTTCAAGCCATGTCCAATGTCGGGATCAGGTTGGTGGTGGTACGGGCTTCAGGCTTTGAGGCGCCTGGCCGGCGGGCATGCAAAGCGAAAGGCGGTGTTCCACCTGCACTGTCAAGGTATTTCATCGCTGTCTGCAGTGCCTTCTACACTGTCGGGATCTCAAAAAGTGATGGCTGTGCTCGACGGAATATGTCCCCTTGCTGAGGCGGCACACCGCCGCGCATTGCGGGATCGCCTCCCCACGGTTCCGGTGTTGCTGGACACTGGACAGCAGGGGAGCTCGCGAGACTTTCAGAAGGCATTCAGAAGCTCAGGACGGAGAGCAGATGGTCAATCCACGTTTCAAAGCATTGCGGCGGCATGCTCGGACGCTCCTGGCAGCTGCGAAGCAAGCAGGGGTGCAGGCGTGACGCGCGAGCTCAAAGATTCGAAGACCTGGACGTGCTTCTTGCGTGATTTCGTTGCAGGGCGAAGCGACTGACCTCTCCGTCGGCACTGCCAACCAGGAGGGAACGATCAGAACTCACCGACTGTGGCACAAAGATCAACGACGAGTTTCCAAGCCGAGGTCCCAGCATTTCCTCTGCCACAGTCTTCAGCGTCCAGCCACAAGATCGCAACCGGCCAGGAGGGAGAAGGCTCTTTCGGTACACCTGTAGGCACAACCATCGTGAAAGGCGAGCTGTAGTTATGCGGGCAGTTACGAGTAATGCATCAAAGACGTTTGTCAGTGTTATGGCCGCTTGTGTCGCGAGCGTGACATAAAAGAGGCAGATTGCTTTGTGCATGCCCACAATCATAAGACAAGGGCTTTCGCAGACACTCCTGGAAAGTCGAGCAGCTCTGCCAAGATGTGCCAGCTAGTTGTAAGAGGGAGCTTAAAGCCTAGCAGGCCCAGCGTCGCTGCCACAAGCGTCAATGTGATGAAGAAGCTCGCGAGCAGGCACATCGAGTCTCTTGGTGGATGCCAGCGGCGCCCCCCCACCTCGGCAGCTGGCCGTGTTGTACCGGGCGGACCTGGATGCTCTGAGGTTTGGCGCCACAGAGTCACAGAGGGAGCATGTCCGCCCATGTCAGCCCCTTCAGCTCAGGGCGGAGCTTTCGGCGGGTGTGCTGGCCGGCGCCGAGGCGGCCGAGCGGCTGAGGTGCGGAGAGACTCCGCGGAGCCTATGCGTAAGGGTCTCCTCGGAGGCAGCTGGAAAGGCGACCTTTCGAAGGGCTGCTCAGCGGCGAGGCTAGGGGACCACGGATCGCAGGTCTTGTGCCAAAGGTTCCTCGTTTCCTTCTGCTTGTGTCTTTGTGTCTTGAGTCTGCTGGAGGCTGATTGCTTCGACGATTCGGGCCTCAAGCCAGAGGAGGAGGCCCAGGATGCAGAAATGTCTCGGAGACAGCACGCTGACGTCTGCTAAGGAGGCCATCAAACAGGAAGCAGCGTATGGGCAGCCGCGGGATCTTCCGCGGCTCAGTTGCAAAGAACGGGCCTGCGTTTGGCCCCAGATTGATGTGTGAGGTTTTTGCTTGTCCTCCGAGGACGGATTTTCGATCGAGCGAGGACACCGAGTGGAGCGAGGTGCCCGTGAAGGACGCGCTGAAAGCTTTGGCCGTACCCGCCCACCTCGCCGTGGGGCCAAAGGCCGGTTGACGTTTGAAGTCGCTTGGCTTTGCAGCCTTCTCCAACCGCGTGCAAGAATGTAAAAGCTGCACCATGCTCGTACAACTTGAGCTGCCTGACGGATGCCTCAGACTTTAGACTTCAGAATCTGTCAGGTGCCCTGCAAAGAGGAGGACCGGTTGGGGCCTATAGCAGCTGAGCACTTTGTTCAAGCAAGCCACTGTCAGGGCTCCTTCGTGTCTGCAAACGCACTCGCGTGATGTGCATCTTGAAGTAAACTCTATGGATCTCATGGTTGAGGAATAGCGATGTTGCCGAATCTTTGTCAGCCACTCACCGCAGAATCGCTGTAGGTTCACATAGGCGCGTATTGGCAGAAGAACCGGCCAATCCTCGTCACGCGAGTGCTGTGCCTGGCAATCTGGAAAGGCGCCGACTTCACTGCACAACTCAGTACTGATTACTTAGCTCGGCTCAATGTTCACTCCCTTCACTTCGCCACAGGAACACTGCCAAGACTGGAAGACTCCAAAGCCTCCAAAGAGAAGATGCATTACCCAAGACCCAAGTTGCAGCCCGGTCCGGCAATGGGCCCCAGCCCCAACCCCAGCCCCAACCTTTGTTTGACGCCAGCCCACAGGAGCAGGCCTGCAAAATGCACTCGCACACTCGAAACAACAATCTCAGACTAGAACCCTTGCCCCGGGACCACGATTCGTATAGTGGGGACAGAGCGGTGTCTCGAGAGAGACCCTTTGAGGACCTGCCAATCAGTTTCCGCCGTTTGCAAGCCATCTACGACCACCTCGGCGTTCCATCCAGGACCTGCCCGTAACCTGCAGTCAGGGGTGTAACATGATGCCAATTGAGTAAGCAGGCGAGGCTTGTGTCAGATCGCCTCATTGCCGCACTTCGCGGCTCTCTGCTTAGAGTCGCCTGAACTTGTAGAGGCGCTGCAACTTGCAAAGGAGGTGTAGGAGGACTGGAGCTGAGCACTTGCAAAGACAAGAAGGCTTTGCACAGGCCAGTGTTCTCTACGCTCGCCAAGGGAAGTGAAGGAACAGAGTACAGAACCAGCTCCCATGCCGCAAGCTTGGAGTACTACCACCCTCCTGCCAACAGTGGGTGACGTAACGAAAGAGAGGCTTCGATCCCGGAATCCACTCACGTTTCTGTACGGCACTGGAAAGCACAAGACTCAACATCCAGACGTGACATCCACCAGGTGCGGAGTAGCTTCCCACCTTGCCTTGGACGATGCGAGTTGCGAGAAGCTTTGCCGAGACGGCCAGTCTCCCAAAATTCTCCTTCCTTTCCTTTGCGGAATTTGCTGGAAGACCGGCTGGATGAACGACTGGTTCATTCAGCCTCCTCGGACGCCGCATCGGATCTTGACTCGCCTGCCCCATGCAGATGTTCCCTCCCTTTCCAGATCAGCTGTAAGTCTAAGTGTGATGGACACCCTGAAGGGCCTATCTGAGAGCAAGATGAGCGTTTTTGCCAACCCCATTTTGCACGAGGTTTGGGTACATAGTGCAAAAACATGCAAAATCATTGCATATGAACGAATGCGGACCTGAAACGTGTATGCAAAAATGTCCTGATGAGAGCTGCGTACTGCGGAAGAGTCCCTCGGTGTACGGTGCTACGATATGACCATGGATACGGCTGCTGTCATCCCCGACACAAAGTCGGAGGTTTCTCCCGGGGCTGTTCAGGCTTCACTGTGCAAACGGTATGGAAGCAAGCGCTGACCTGGATTGTTCAAGCAATTGTACTTGAGCTACTTCAGGAGTTCGAGCGCGCTGCTGGCTGTGCTCCAACATTCCGGAGAGAACCCCAGCAGCGAGGATTCCCAGTTTGGCTTGGTGTCACTGCCCGTGGTACAACTTTCAGATCACCCATCTCGAAAGGAGGAGGAACAGCGTGCGCATTGCTGCGTTACAATGTGCTTGGGCTTGGAACCGCGCCACATCGGGCATGCCGGTGTATTCTGAACGCTTGCCATGGTAGAGGTCTAGTCGAGCGTCACCCTCGTTCCTGAAGTGGCACCTAAGGCTGTGTTGCTGCCAGTCGGCACGAGGCATCGTTGCCCGAAACGTGGGTGACGAGAGTCCTCATGCTGAAAGGCGCGCGTCTGTGATTCTGCGATTCCTTGTCAATCGAGTCCCGGGCTTTTTGCAATGTTGCGTTCCTATCTTCCTGGATCCCTGAGGCTTATTCGATTTCGGACGGCGCTCAGTAACTTGACTCCGCCCGATGTGAAGCGCCTGCAGGTCTAGGGACCAGCTTGCAGTCAGAGGAATTGCGCGCAGTGCTTCTGGTGCAGGGGTCCTTAGCCCTGATGTTGGTGGTTGGTGCAGGAGGAGAGCTTCTTCCAAAGAATGCGACGGTGTCTTCCCTGCTCCAGGTCATCTGGAAGCAGTGACGTGGGCTTCAAATGTTAGAATGGTGTGGGGTTCATCCTTCGATCGAATTGTGGTGCATCGATTTTCGAGCGTCTCCTCCCTGATTGCAGTCCGGGCTTTGAGACCTCGTGCTGTTACAAGATTTCCGTTGTGAGAGTGTCTGTGGGTGGAACAGAGTTCGGCGGGAGCGTAGACTGAAGGACCGCGATCGGTAGCTTTGTACTAGGAGTAGTAGTAGTAGTCGTCGTGGTAGTACTAGTAGCAGCAGCAGCAGCAGGAGTAGTAGTAGCAGTAGTAGCAGTAGTAGTAGTAGTAGTAGTAGTAGTAGTAGTAGTAGTAGTAGTAGTAGTAGTAGTAGTAGTAGTCGCGTTGGTAGTATAGTAGTGGTTGTCATAGTCGTAGTCGTTGTCGTAGCAGTCTAGTTGTGTAGTAGTGTAGTAGTAGTCGTAGTAGTCGTAGTAGTCGTAGTAGTCGTAGTAGTCGTAGACGTCGTAGTGGTGGTGGTGGTTGTGGTGGTAGTTGCCTTCGTCACGTATTCTTCTCTCAGGTTTAGAATTTCTTGGGGGTTGGGAGCCGCCACCCTCGTTTCACGTCTGTTCAAACGATGCGAACATGAGGTGGGCAAAGCTCCGCGGAATCTGCACAGGACAGCAGCTGAAGATGTGGCATCCACGTTTCTCGTGATAGCCTTGAGCTCGCAAGGAGTCCGGTGGTGAGGGCTCGGAGCCGACGACCGAGCCGCCCGAGTTGTCCGAGCTGCCTGAGACCGCTCCTGGGCTGACAGAAAGGCTTAAGGCTGCTGTTACTAGTATCTGTTGCGAAGTTGGAGTGTACGGCTCATCATCATCAGGTGACTCGGAGGCGGCGCCGCTTCCGTGCCATCGAAAAGTGCTTCAACAAGCACCAGCCCGAAGGACGCCCTTTGCGTGTTGAGACTTCCGATGCCCCTTTGTGACTCCGATGCCTCCAGGCTGCCCGCTTTGCACATCTTCCTTCCGCCCGACAAGCAGCGATCTCTGAGCCAAGGGAGCTCAAGATCGGATTGTCTTAAAACGCTGCCCCATGCTGCCCCTCAGTTCGGAGACCCTGGTGGAAGCTCTGTGCTCATGAGCATCTAAGACTCTAAGACATTCTAAGACCCTTCGTTAGCCCTAGTTCCCAGAATGCTCTGTCAAAATAGGAGCCGGCTGAGTGGCAGAGAGTGCAACCAAAGTGTTGTGACAGCAGCTATGCAGCGTCATTTGCTTCAAAAGCAGAGTCCCTGCATATTTCTTTGCTGCGATTGCATGGAGATCCTTGAGGAGTCCTGCCTCGAGTGTATGTTCTGCTGTCATGCCAGGCGGCCGTGCCACGTCCGCGGAGTTGCTTGCCCACTGAGTTGTTCCTTGAAGTGTACAGATACGACACGGTGACCGGACTTGGCCACGAAAGAAAGATGAGGACCTGCTAGCTGCCGACTTGCAGCTAGCAGCAGTGAGAGCTCGTACGTGTCGGTGTCTAACTTCCTACTTGTACTAATCTTTCGGCTCCAGGAAGTGCTCCTTCCTTCCCTATCGTTGTCTAGAACTCTTTTTCCATGTCGGTCACCAACCAGCAAGTGGCTCTCTGATAAGAGCTGCTCGGCTGCAAGGCTTTGGCATTCTTGCGCCAAGCACTTCACTCCAAGGCTCGCTGGTCTTCCTCGCATCCGTGACCTCTTTCAGTTCAAGGCGGTCCTTGGCAGGGTTTGGCAGACTCCAGGTTGCTTCAGCTTCGTCACAAGACCTGTTAGAGGTTTAGGTGTCTTTCCGCCAAGAACCTGCGACTCCAATGTGACCCTACGTCGGGGTGAGGGCTTGGTGGCAGCCCTTCTCAAGTGTCGCACACTTTGGCACGACCAGTCTCGCAGGTGATCGTACGCTAAATGCGATGCGATTCCTCGCAGCTTGGACGCTGCTGGCTCGCAAGTGGCAGTGCGATGATGGTGCGAAGATCCATGACTCTTGCAGCGACTCTTGCAGCCGTCTGCAGTCCTGCCAAGGCTTTCGCTCATTGCAGTCTCTGCGCTGGACCAGGAGAGCATGTCCGGCGGACTCGGGACATTTACGAAGAGACAAGCCTCAGCCGAAGGACTTAGACCATGGCCATCAGCGTGCACACCTGGTTCAAGCTGTAGAATCTTGGGAGGGAGACGAGGCTGCTTGCCGTAGAGGCGCAAACCAAAGCCAGAGCTTTCTTGGAGAGGTCAGCCATCGGCCCAGCCCCAGGCATGCACCGAAGGCTCGTGCCCAAAGCAGCACTCGGTGGTGTCAGAGCCCTCTTCATAGCATGCAAGGCTCATGAGGCTGCCACCAAGCGCTTCGGCTACGGTTTGTATGTGGAGAGGTGCTGGGCGTCAGTGTGCCAGTCTGAAGTGTCGGCTGAGGAGGGAGATGAAGCACGGGGCGAAGAATGGCAAGCCACGCACGAAAGACACGAAGGCTTCGAGTGGGCCGTGTGCTGCGATACTCCGTGGTTTGCAACAGGGTTGGGCTGTGAGATTCCTGGGAAGGCCAAGCATGGCCCGAAGGCAGCAGCGGAGGCGACGGGTCTGACTATCTGCTTAAGAGATGGTTGTCGCACGCCTGGGAGCCACTGCTTTTGCTGGCAGGTCAGTTCGCATGGAGGTCTGAGCCACCACCAACAAGCTCGTTCCAGCCACAGGCACAGGCCAGAATCTTGGAATCCCGCGCTTGAGCTTGGAGGAGCAGCGTTGCAGTGTGCGCATGCGCCACATTCTTGTGCCCATAAATGACATTCCGTTTTGTAGGTAGGTTATGGACCCTCGACACGGCTTGGGACAGTCGTTCGAATTTGCCACTGAGACATGTCTTAGCAGATGAGGCCCGATGTCGTCCACAGCCACATGGAGGCAGGGGGAACCTGGGCACCGCTGCGTCTTGCGCGTTGCTCAGCCGTGAGGGCAGTCAGGGCAGCAGGGTTCCGCAGTGCAGGTTGAGGCTTCACAGAACATTCCTGTGACCTTCTTCCAGGAAGAGTCAGAACAGGTCGGACAGCCTGACCTCGCATTTAGGTCCTTGCACAACTGTTCTTGCTCAGGGGCCTGTCCATCAGGTGAGGGTTCACGAGCCTTGGACATTCAGTATCACAGGCTGCGCGGAGCGGCACTAAGCTTTTCGAAACCGAGGAGAGGGAAGGCTCCGGCGTGGAGGTGGAGGTGGCAAAGCTCTCTGACGTCCCCGACGACGCGTCGCAGCAATTCAGGGCCGTTCCAAGTAGGGGTTCTCGTCGGGTGATCAACATGCGCACCAAGACCTGTTTGTTTAAGGAGATGGAAATGGAGGCGGAGGCTGGCACAGATGCACAGGCCAGATGCAAGGATTCGCCTGGCAATCTGGTTCCAGGAAAAATCAGACTACAGCGAGGCGGCTCCGGGTCATTCATTTGTACCGATTCCCTTAGATGTCGAACTTGCGACGCAGGAAGATGATGGAAGCAGCGCCGAAGATCAAGCCCGAGTCCCAGTCGCTGCCCAGAAGCACAGTCGGCCTCGGAGTCGTGCGGAAAGTTGATAGCAACAGTCCGTCGGGTGAGGGGCTGCCCACATGTGCAAAGTGACAGATGCATATCGTCCGAGACTGGGAGTGACGGAACTCTAACGAAGCAGACTCGGACGTGCCTACGAAAGTCGTAGAATCACGCATGCAAGGGCCGCCGCTTCCGGCATAGAGTAGCCTTGAATGAAAGAGGCCGATGACTTCACTCTGCCGAAAGCTGATGAGATGGAGGCTTTCGTCATCGTTTCTCTCAAAGCAGACATGCGCATGTGCACCGGAGAACTACCATGAGCACACTGGTGGGGACAGGGGCACCAAGATGCGGCAGCAGTCGCCGACGTGCTATCTGCATCCCCCGCTTCGATTATGAGAAGAGAGGCCCCAAATAATGGCTGAAGCCCATCTGGGAACAGCCACTCAGCATGCCGGCAGGTGCACGACACAGAGCTGCCGACAGAAGTCGCTGCCAAGAGATGGTGGGGGGCCCGTCTCGGCTCGAAAATATCAGAGCATGGCAGATCTCGGAAGCTTTGGGGAGCCAGGCTCGGGCTCTACGACTTCCACGGCAAGGCTGGAGCCACGCTGCTGATTTCGGTGTTACCGTTACTCGCACCGTCGTAATCGTTGCCGCATCGAGGTGAGTGGGCAGCGGCATCTTCGCAGGGTTGTGCTTGTGCTCGGGCCTTGGGCCTCGCAGATTGCTTGGTGCAAAAGAAGAACGCATGAGCACATTGACATCACGTGCTCGCAGGTTTGTCTTCATGGGCATTGCAGTCCTCTTCATGTTGCTCGCTCTCACGAAGGCCAGGGGATCTTGCCGTGGTACGGGGTACTGCCCAGCCGCAGCGCACCGGGCAGGCACATCAATACAGCATCACAAAGGGCAGTTTTGTGTGTAACACACCGAGAAGGCTATGCTGTGCAAGCCTGCTGATGTGTTGTGTTCCGGAGCAGCACCTGGCACGCATCTTCCACGGCTGCAGTGCCCACTTTACTGTTGAGGTTTGTTTGCTCAAGTTGCCTTTGCAAGGAGATTGGTGCTTTCTGTTTTCTACCGGGCGTGTATGTGCTGTTGCAGTCGAAAGCTGCGTCTACATTGGTGTGCGTGCTTCGTTTTTCGTCGCACTACAGCTGCATCTGCATGGGGGTTTGTGTTTTCTACAGTCGTGGTTATGCTGGTTGGCATTGCGTCTTCTTGGTGCTTGTGTTCGCGCCGCCGTGTCAAATTACCGAAAGTCCCATCTTGATAAGCTCTTTCTGCTTGCGAAGTCGTGTCCGCTGATAATTATGGTGGCACATGCGATAAGAATAACTCGAAAGTTGTGTCTGCGTGACGCGACGAATCTTCCTCACTGCATAGCCGTTACGTGCGCCTACGTGCAGTCCCAATTCTTGTCTTTCGCAAAGTTTTGCCTCTATCGTGATGTCGTATTAGATCCAGCTGTCTTGCTGTTTCTAGTACGGGTTGGTGACTCCGATACTACGTAACTTCAGCTTGTATATGGCGTTGTGCTGCTGGATCTCGGGTGTGGGTTGTCGCCGAAAGGTCATCCCAAACCGAGTGTCTAATGGTGTCCTGCTGTTTCGCGTATGTCCATCTGCATATTCAGCCACAGCATCCGCATCAATCCCTTTGAATCGACCGGATTTGCTTCCACCGCGATGCCATGTCAGACCGAGAGTCTTGGTGGTGTTCAACATAGTGTTCTGCCCTTACCAGTGGTGGATTTCGTTTTTTCTCCAAAGCCTCCGACGGCCTGTCTTGGCAACTCCCTCGAATCGCACAGTTTTGCTTCTGCGGCTAGTGTCTCCATGTTGACAGTAAATATTATTGTGTGGCTTCCGTCCTATGATGTACACCGTTTCGAGCGTCACACTGCGCGATGTGGCTTTCGAATGGGCGATGTGACTTAAGGTAACGGCCTAGTACCACCCCGCTCTTGAGAGTTGTGTGGTAACGTGGTGTGCTGGCAAGGCAGACAACGTCATCAGGAGTGTGCTGTCGCATGTCAGCGCTTGCCTTGGGAAGTTTCTGGATGTCTCCTGTATTTTGGAAACAGCATACACCGTCCTGGTGGTGGTGATTCGGAGCTCATGATGCGTAGCTACCGCATTGAACAGGATGCATGCTAAGGCCTCTCGACCGAGCCGACCGGCAGCGAGCTGCAGGCTCTGCAGCGAAGCGAACATGCAGGGGGAGAAACGAGCTGGTCGGTTCTTGTTCCCAGGAGCCCGTGGAAAAGAAAGATCAGGTGCAGACGAACGGCAAGACTCCAGAGGCTGCAACGAAAGCAATTGCGAGAGGCCCAGTGTCTTCCCACGACAGGCGATGTGTTTCTTTGCTTCAACAATTTGACGTTGCGTCGCCTAAGGCCAATCTGCTCGAAAGCAGCTTGGGCACCTGCGGTGGCAGTCGAAAGTTGCCAACTCAGGTATCGCAGGTCACAGGTAGCATTCTGTGCACCAAAAGTGTTCCTGAATTTCTGTCTCTAGGCTGAGCAGGGAAGACAAGGACCACTGCCGGTTGAGGGGTCGAAAAGTTCCACGGCGCACACGGCACAGAATCTACCGTTGGCGTCGGGCTTTCCACTGCAGGGTTGATCTTCAATGGGGGGAGACCCTTGACTCGGACAAGACTCGACTTGGACGAGATACTGTGGAGGAGTTCGATGCCGATCTTGGCTCCGTGGGTGCCCTGCGGTCACGGGTCGAGGCACACCGGCTACCGGCCTTCATGTCAGCCGCGAGAAACACCGTCGGGCTCGGCGACAGGCGATTCCGGTGAGCGCTGCCGCACAGGTACGGGGCCCCGCCTTGCGTGCGAAGCATTGCCCAACTCCTTTCGGTGCTCCTCCGAGGTCGAGAGGCTCCTTCCTTCTGCGGGCGGCTACGACGTTACTTTCTCCAAGCCCTTGAGCAGCCGGCAGCCGCGCAGCCCAAATCTAGGGCAATGGGAGCAATGTTCTGTGACACGCCTTAGAGACGGGCCCGGGCCAAGGCTTCTGCGTCTGGAAGCCGTCATTCAAACTTCGGTCGAGTTCTCGGGTCTCTCCCTGCATCCCATGGCACAACTGCTCTTGCTTTCGTGCTTGCGCCACCCAGGCGGATTCGGAGCCGCTCCTGGCACCGCTCACGCGGCGACCATGCGTTCTTTACACCGTCCGGGTCCCACGCACCACGCGCACCATGCGCATGACTCGGAGAGACGTGACCTTGTCGGCTGAGGCGAACGCGTCCAGAAGGGTCCATGGAGGCAGCAAAGTTTGGTTGGGAGAGTTTCGACAGGCATCGCGCGATTGATGCTAGTATGCTCGCGAGGCATGCCTTTGCCGGTCGCCTTTGCTTCCCAGCACACCGACTTCATCGTGACCCTGTGCGGCTCACCACGGGTGGACATCAGAGTCTCCGGTTCCGAGGCACGAGGAGGACGAAAGTTGAGAACATTGGCACGTCGACTTGGTAGAAGCTTTAAAGTCTGTGACTCTGTGAGTCCGTGAGGTGAATCTCTTTGCAACGAGGGAATGCGAGTTTGCTGAAGTGCGGCGCCTTGACAGTCTCTCTGGCTCCCTTTGGTTGGAGGTAGGACGGTGCTTTGAGCGGCGCAGATGGCAAGGTCTTACCTTTTCCTTGTGCTCCAGACCATTGGCCGCCTGCTCGAAGTCCAGATGCTCGCGCGCTCTCTCTAACTCTCTCGCTCTCTCTGTCTATCTCTCTCTCTCTCTGGTTCTGTCTCTCCCTCGTGTGGACTAAGGCAAGACTTCGTCTCCGCCCACTTGTCCTCTGCAGGCGGTGGCGAGTCTGGGCTCTGGGCTAGTACAGAGGGCTGCTTTTGGAGGCACCGGCTCTTCAGACAATCATGCGATGGAGAATGGCTTGCGCGCTAAAGGCCGAAGACTCAGTGTAGGAAGCCTCGACAACTATCCGTGCTGCATTCCTCCGGAGGCGGTTCATATCACAGATGTGTTGTCCGTGCGAGTGAAGATATGCTGTGAGCAACCAGAGCTTACGCAGTAAGTCCAGCGACGACAGCCACCACGTCCCTAGGTACAGCTGTTGAGTTTCATGAGTGCTGCCTGATCACTGGTGCCACGGCCGGGGACCTCGAGTCTTGACACGTCTCGGCAGACGGCAGAGAGAGAGAGAGAGAGAGAGAGAGAGAGAGAGAGACACCATGAGCTGAGGTCACCCTAATTGGCGAGCTCATGCGCTCTGCGAGCGGCGACCTGACCCTCCAACCGCTCAGCCAAGAGCAGGCGCGGAGCGAGCGCGCGGGGCCGGGGCGCTGCGTTTGGAAGCGTGGCGCAGGTGTCCTGGAAGCACCCTTCCTGGGAGAAGGGATCCGGGGAGGAGTTGGAGCTCCTGGAGGCCGGACCGCCTCCCCAAGCAGCGCCCGAGCCCGAGCCTCCGAACGGCGCGGTTTGGAGGCTCGGACTCACGTGCTCATCAGCGATGATCCGACGCTCCTCACGTCCGAGCTGGCAGAGGCTTCCTTCGTACGCTCGCAGAGGAATGTGCAAACTTGCTAACGGCCTGACTGGCCTGTCCCCGCTACAGGCAGAACTCGATGCTCAGTCCGAGAAGTGACGACAGTCTGGCTGTGCCGAGTCTCTCAAGACATCGGCTCCGTCTTTCACGACACGTCTAGGCAGATGCAGATCTCCTAAGTCAGTCTTCTATCTTGTCTGCATTACCAACTAGTAGGCTTGCGAAGGTCAGGAACGCGTGTTCATCGATAGAACTTCACGAAGAGCTGCGATGTGGTGCGGGCACAAAATCGAACCGTTGCACGCGCTTTTGGCCACGGCACTGTCTTTGCCACCTTCACAGTGCCCGAGTCGGAGCTAACCGGCCCGGGTCGCAGGTGAACCAGCGCACCGGCCTGCGGGTTCGGAACTTGGAGGACCGGCTACACTAGTGGTTCTTTTCATATGCATCCACATGGGAGTTTGCGGAAATAGGGGACTCTAATATACTACTCTAAACAGTAGGATCCTTGCTATAAGGACCCCAAAATAAGGTACTTGTATAATTTGTATACATGTAGATGTATATCTATGTGTACATGTACAGATATGTTCAATTTAGGTAGATAGATGGATAGATCGAGGTATAAGTGTTCGTATATTATATGTACAAGTATATGCTTATGTGTGTGTATTTGCATACATATGTATATAAATAGATACATCTGAAAGTAAATCGGTTTGTCTATTTATCTATTTGCCTATCTACCTACCTATCCGTACAAATGTACGCTATAGATGCTCATTTTGACCTTTTGTCAAAATGCGCTGAACCATAACGAGGACGTACTTTTCTATTCTATGGCCATCAGGTCAGGTTGCTTGCTTGGCTCGGAAGGGCGTGGTTTTCGGGTAGTTGCCAGGCTTGGGTGGCGGTTTTCGTTGTGACTCATCATGGGACAGATGCCGAGACGGCAACCCCGATGATGATGATGAAGATGACGATGCTGATGATGATGATGATTTTGTTTATCATTTACATGCAATGACAAAGATGATGATTGATATCTCTGTTTTTTGATTTTTGTGATCGTTTGTAAAATGATATGAAACAAGGTTTTGACGGGATTTGGGCCAAACTTTCATCGGATTGTCCTAGATGCTGTGTGGCCTGCTTCATCTCACACGTTTCCAGTGTTTGTGACAACGTTTCAGCAGCCCTGAACACTAGAGAGCTTTCTTCCTAGCCCATAGCTCTCAAGTATATGGTCCGGTGTATTAGTTTCACACAGTTCAGACTTTAAACCGTATAGAATAAAACTGTATACATACGTAGAACCGTCGATGCTTTGTACCGAAATTGGTCACACCGGGCAGACAGCGGTGTCAGGACCAAATGGCCCAGCAACAGAAGCTGCAGAAGCAGCTCGCTCTCCGCCACACGATGGTCGCTGGGCCTGCTTCCGCATTGCTTTCATGAGTTGGCAAGATTGAGACTGTGGTTCATAGTTGCAGATAGGCATGCTGCAAACCTCATCCGCTGCAAGGGCTTTATGGTTGAGGGGCCTCGAAGGTGTCCCCTCGCCGTACTTTTGATATTGGGCATGCTTGTGCGAACTTGCCCTCAGACTCTGCGGGCTAACGTGATTGTGTTGCACCAGAGTGTCTCGCCTGTTGTGGTTGCTCTTGGAAATTCCATGAGCACCTTGCTGGCCTCCTGTAGCTTGATCTGCACAGCTGCCGCTGCTCAAATAGAGCCAGACAAACAGCAGAGCTTCGAAGCAGGCAGCCAAGCGCAATGTGGACGGGCTGCCGGAGCTGCCACTCGCGAAGTGGGAGGCGCATCACGGAATTGGGCAGAAGACGGCGAAAGGGAGCTTGACAGGACCAGGCAATGCTGGCGCCGCTTGGGGTGCGGCACAGACGCCCATCAAGCAGAGTGGAGCAGAAGGCGAAGTTCGGAAGCTTGCTCAGGCCACGCCCTATCCTTTGGCTCTGATGCCAGCTCAGGCCGTGGCCACAGCTTTTGAGAGTATTGAAACGCCTCGCCGAGACATGCCTTGTTGCTCAGCCCGTCGCGGTTTCGTCCTCGCCAACATACTGAGTCGGGATTTGGTGCACTCCTTAGTCCTTGCTGGACCCCACAAAACCCAAAAGGGTTTAGAAACCAATGTGGCAAAGAATCAGCCGCACAAGGCTCCACGGTGGACCTCGGGCTTCGGCATGAACTAAGTGCATGTAAAGAGGCTTCCGTAAGCATGCGGTCATGTTCCTTTGCGGTTTCCTTCCACGCCTGCTGAGTGGGAGCCAGCTTGTGCTTTCCGTAGCTTCAGTTTCAAGACCAAGAGAAGCAATCTGCATGATGCACCTCTCATAGCCACGTGTTTACAACATGTCAGCCACCCTTTCAACATCTTACAAAGCTAAACCACCAGCCAGAGTCAGAGGGTCAACCTCCACTCGTTGACCGCGTCTCATGCCTGATGGATGGCTCGCGATGTGGCTGGCAGCATTCTCAACAATCAGTTTACTGTCAATGCCCAGAAGCAACCACCCAGTTGTGCAGGGACATGATGAGCATCCTGGTTCCCTTTCCTTCTGGTTTTTAGTGCTCACGTTCGTCAGAAGCCGAGAAACGTGCGGAGTGTGGCGTGATGTCGTGGACAAGTATGGCCATCGCGTGAGGCAGTTGTGGCAAGCGTTCTGCTGAAGAGGCCAGGAACGATGCCGGGGGAAGTGAAAATACATGACAAATACTTATCAAACTGACTCGAACGAGCTGCAGTTTACTGCCACATCCACCAACGCCGCGGGACGCAATACGTACTGGTGGGGAATGTCGGAGTGTCATGATGACCTGCAGGATAAACAGCAAAGTGGACTTCGCGGTCGAGGCACTTTCCAACGGAAAATTGGCAGCTGGTCTCTCTCCTTGGCCGAGTGGTCGTCGAGGTGCTGCTCCGAGCCTTGGAGCTGCTGTCTGGGCCCCAGGCAAAGCGTGTGAAAGGCGACTGGGAAACGATCAGGTCATGTTTGATGAACTGCTTCACCCCTTCACCTGCGCATGTGCTTGAGTTAAACTGGATGCCATCGATCGCAATGAGGTGGTTTTACTTGCCCTTGGTCCCGTTGCTAGCCTTCTCTGTGGTGGCAGCTACCTGTCTGCAATCGCTTGTGGGCAGCATCGAAATGCAACGGTGCAAAAACGGCTCTGCCGCCAAAGGATCGATGCTCGCCAGCATGCAACGTCGCCGAGGCTTCGAGGCAGGTGTGCTTCGTTTGCAGGACGATCCTGCCCTTACCCTGCGGGCTTGACGCGAGGGGTGGTGTTCGCCTGTGATGCCGTCTTAATTTCCGTCCGCCCATCACGTGAGTTTGCACGTCTAGCTTACGGGCATAGATCGTCTTGCACGATCCGTTTGATCTTGGCTCGAGTCGATCTTCAAGCCCTCTGTTTGCAAGACGAGCGGCATAGTATGTGTGCAGGATTCTTTTTGCACGACACGTGGAACAGTATGTGTGCACGATCTTGTGGTCTAGCAGCTTTGCATGAACTAGACCTGATGCAGGCGACAGGCCCCTAGCTGGGCGCTGACCTCGACTCGGCTGGCTTCAATGCTTCTCTTATCTGCTGTGGCGATCGCTTGAGGTCGACTGGTGGTGGGCCGTTGCTCTGCGGAGGGTCGCGAACCTGGCATGATCATACTCGGAGCCATCCTGGCAGGGCAGGGCTTCACAGCCCCAGGCCTTAGCCGTCTCGCTGGCTCAAGGTGCAACGCAGCGGGCCGGTGTTTGTGAAGTGTGGGCGTCGGACGAATTCTCTTGCGTTTGGGAATCTGCAGGATGTCTCTGTCCTGAGGCTCGGGCAATGGGCGGCTACACGACCCGACCTCATTCCAGAGGACGGAAAGCGCGGGAAGCTCCGTGCAATGTCGGGACGATACTGGAAGGGCCTCAATCAATCGTCAGGGTTGTCGTTGTGTTTGAGTTTGACTTCAGGACGTCTGCTCGCAGCTGGGTCACTTGCACGACAGCACCGAGCCTCATAGCCTGGAGCACACGCACAAGGCTTCTACTCGGCCGTTCGGTGGTTTCAAGCAAAGTCTTGGTCTGGTGTGTTGGTTTCAGGATCACTTACTTCATGCTTCAACTTCAATTGTGTGGCAATGTGGTGGGAGAACCAGCCATGTATTCGGGTGGGTGTGGGGGAGATTCGTGCAGCGACTGCACGTGTTTAAGACTTCACTGTCTTCGGTCCGACATTCCTGCATTTGTTTCGGGAGCTCCGATGCTGGTCTGCCCGTGTTTGGTAGTTTGGCTTGCTCGGGCGCAGGTCTTGCGTGAGTCCTTCTCCGACACGCCGGCAAGCCAAGATGTCTAGCGAACCTGACTTTGCAGAGACTTGACTCACTCGAAGACGGCTATGGTGCAAACAACCTGGACCTCCTTCAAGAGTGAGGCTCCGCATTTGATGCCCTGCTTCAGGTGGTTCCGAAACTTGCTCATTGAGCCAGAGCCGATAGGACCCCCGGATGCATGTCCCATGCTAAAGGTACAAATTGGGACACTGGGAGGGGCCGAGAGCCGTCACAGTTCATCACAATCATCAGTCCAGCTGTCACGGCATGGATGGATCAGCCCTTTTCGTGTGCCATGCTCGCTCGCATGAAATGCAGCCCGCCGACAGCGGCCTCCGTGCTGATGACATGCTACTTGTTCCTCCTTGTCCTACCAAAATTGGCAGGTGGAGCAATCAGGAAGACAATGACCAACTCCTTTGCAGCACCACATAGCAATGGAGAATAGTTGGAGTAGCACATAGGCAGGATACCGTCAGACCTGCCCCAACTGCAAGCAATTCAATGCCACAGATTTTCGGCTGTTGATGCTCAACCTCTGCCATCAGATATGCAGTGAGCTGTTGCATTAATGCAGGAAACGAACGGTTCGGTTCGGTTCGGTTACGGTTTCTGTTTGTGCGGTTCGGTTTGGCGGTTCGGTTTTGAACGAAGGTTCTGGACTGTTCTGTTCGCGGTTCCACGGTTCCGGAAATAAAGCCCTCAGGACCTTAGGAGGGCTCTTCTAAAGGCCAACAGAACCGGTGTTGGGGCGGTTTTGGGGGGTTTGGGGCCCCTGCAAGGCCTGTAGAAGAGCCTTCCTAAGACCAACAGAACCGAAAATTCCTAACACAGTGTGTCAGGGCGATTTTGTGGAACAGAACCGAAAATTCCTAACACATTGTGTTAGGGCGATTTTGGGGGGCTTGGGGCCCCTTCAAGGCATTTGGAACCTAAGACCAACAGAACCGAGAATTCCTAACGCATTTTGTTAGGGCGATTTTGGGGAACAGAACCGAAAATTCCTAACACATTGTGTTAGGACTATTTTGAGGGGTTTGGGGCCCCTTCAAGGCCTTTAGAGAACATCCCGTCTAAGGCCAGCAGAACCGAAAATTCCTAACACATTGTGTTAGGGCGATTTTGGGGGGCTTGGGCCCCTTTAAGGCCTTTGGAACCTAAGACCAACAGAACCGAGAATTCCTAACGCATTTTGTTAGGGAGGGAAGACGAGACAACAACAAAGAAAAACAGAGAAAAGCAAGGACCAGCAAGAAAGAGAAGCGCAAAGAGAAGAGCAGAGAACGCAGCGAAAAGCAATGAAGAGCAGAGACGCGAAGAGAACCCTGACCCCTAACCTCGGGGAATTGGAACCTTTTTCGGTTCGGTTTCTATTTCGGTTCGGTTCGACGGTTCTGGTTTTACTGCTCGGTTCACAGGTTCCGGTTCTGACGGTTCCGGTTTCACGGTTCGCGGTTCGGTTCCTTCCCTTCCTGTTAATGTTTGCATCAGGATCTGGATGCATCGCGCAGGTGGGACCCGTGTGGTGTCAACGCATGATGTGTACCAAGAGCCTTTCCTGGATTGGCAGCCGGCCACGCGAGACGCAGCCTACTAGACGCTGATGCTGAGACCAGGTGTACCGTGGTCAGCTGCTGACTGGTGGAGCAACTTCGTCCAAGGCTGGCAGCAGGATATCAGCGTTTGCGAGATGTCGGAATGCTTCGGCCTTGCAGGCTTCGCCTCTTCGGTTGCTTGGGGCTCGACTCCAACGCTTCTGCGGAGGCGGGTCGGGTGGGGATTGTGTGCAACAAAGGTGCCTCTTGTAAGATCTTGTAAGTATAGAGCATCGTCTGGGATGATCTGAGATGTTTTTGTCCAAGCCCAAAGCCCGAAAGCGATGGCGAATCATGAGTGTCTGTGCGGGGCACGCTGTTTCGAGGACTTTTGAGTTGAGGTTCTGTTCTTTCTGGGTGCAGGCTTTGAGGCTAAGCTGAGCCTGTCAGATCAGACTTATTGAGTTGGCCGGCGGCACGTAGGACATAGGATTTGCTAGTTATCTTTCCCAGCCTTCCTTCACTCCCAGATAGACTCTGATGCAACTATGGAGAATTTTCCCTGTCTACTTGGTCCATTCAACAATCGTGGGTCTTTGCAACAGGTGCTTGCTCATCGACCGCCGGCCGAAGCGTGGAGGCAACGGGTAACGGGCTGCTTGCCGCCACCGCGCCGTCTTGCCCATGTTGGTCCAGGTCGCCGTGAAAGTTGTCCATCCGCAGGCTTCCTGGCGGTGGTGTCCGTTTTTGTTGCAAACCTTTGCTGCAGCCTGTAAATTCATTTCCACATCCTCCACTTCTTCGCCTGGATTGATCCAGTCTTGCCGCAGGTGCAGCGTGCTGTGGATGTTGACTTGCAGGCACACCTGGAAAGACAGCATGGTAATCGCAATAGCGGTATGTGGAGTGAAGCACTTAGAGGGCCAAGTGAATCTGTTTTGCCAGAACACACCAAAACGGGCAGGTGCTGGATCAGCTGGCGAGCCTTTCCAAACATGTAGGTGCGGAAAGGCTCTGGGGTGAAAGCTTGCTGACTTCAGTCGGGCTCACTGCAAGCCTGTGCTGCTGGAGGTTGGGAATTCCCTTAATGCTCCGGCAGTTTTCGGCCTTTCTCAAGGCGGCGACGTTGAGTGACGATACTTCTGGTGAGATATGCTGTTTGTGGCCACCACGAGGCCCAAACAAATCTCGAGACAGAGGCGCAAAATCTACGAAGGCACCCGTTGGTGTTTGCCAAGCTTTTCGTTTCTGTCGCCTCTGGACCGTGCAGGATGAAGCAGATGCTGGCATCTGGCGACGGCAATGTTGTAATCCCTGAGGTCGCATCGACGTGCAGTTGTATACAAGCCATGCCCCTCTTGTATGCCAGTGTATGCTATCTCACACCGCTCCACCTCTCGGTGACTATTCCAAACGTTCCGTCCAGACTCCCGTGCTTCACAGTCAACCAGCAAGCACATGCCACCGCTGCAGGGTTGAGCTGAGAGTGGCACGCGACGGGGGTGTGACGCATCCGAAGCATGGCTTTGCTGCGATTCCTGCTATGGGGGGAGAGGGACCGCGTATTGCTGTACACCCTCTAGTTGTTATTTCATCACTGACTCGCAAGCCGATGTGTGTTTAATTTGCACACGAGCCGCGAGCGCTCGTGATCTGATGCCGAAAGGTCTTCGACAGATGGGTTGCACCAAACGTGCTCGTGATGAGCTTCGAGGAGTGTGGTTCTGCGAATAGACACGCCACCCTAAACTCGACACCTCGCGCCAAGAGCACTTTGTGCGTTCGCGCCAGGAGGGGGAGCCTCTGACCGCCTTGCTCGACTCAGACGGCCCAGATCGGCCAAGGCCGAGCTGAGTATTCCACTGCTGCTTCAGGGTTTAGGGTTTAGGGTTCAGGGTTGCTGCTGTTGTTTTTGATGTTACTTCTCCTCCACCCCGTCTTCCTCCTACTCCTAGCACCACCACCACGGCAGCGACGACTAACTTCTACTGCTACAAGAAGAGCATGAGCTTGAACGCTGCCATTCAAGCATCAGGGAAAGACATGCTGCAGGCTAGAGGCTTGGCGAATCCTTGTGTTGTGCTCAGAGAAGTTGGAGCGGCCTCTGCCTCTGAAGGATTTTGGACATTTTCCGAGGTTGACAGCTTCTGGGCCATGGTGTTCAAGTACCGCTTCGTTCCGAACCCAGCAAGTGTGCACTTCCATGGTAGTGTGAGAGCCATGGAACAGCTTGCAAGGTGCATGGTGACCTGCACCCAGGCCTCGGAATGTCAAGCAAAGCCTGCAGACAAGCGTTGAGTGATGTGCAGGAAACATACTGTGGCGGCCACCAGCCGACGCCTCTGGCAAGGCAGTGCATGCCAGGGGTCCTTTTCTTTCTTAATGCACCGGAGCCTGGGCTTTGCTGCCGCAAGTTGCATTGGTCAGTCCATCACACGGTCGTAAGAATCCAGTTTCAGTCTAAAGCTCTGGATTCAGAGTGAATTCGCAGGGTGATCACACGGCCTTGTCTTGATTGTGTTGTGTCTGAATATGCGGTGCGAGGCGCTTGGGTTTTTTGATTCTGTGCGTTCACGGTTTGAACCAGTTTGAAGTATATTTCCATAGGATTGAGTCTTCAGTCTTGCCCTGTCAACGGCAGACAGTCGTAATGAGCTGTACCCCGAAGGCCAAGGCAATTTTCGGGCCCCTGTCTTTAGATGTAGGATCAGGATTAGGGTTTTGGCTGTAGGGGTTGGGCTTTTGAATGACAGGGTTTTGCTTTAGGGTTGGAGGGTTTCGGGCGGCAGGGGTTTTAGAGAGTAACAGCTTGAACGACTCAAACTGACTTCTGCATGACAAAGAACTGATAAAAAACGGCATTGTTCATGGCTCTTCTAGCCTGTATATATATATATATATACATATATATATATATATATATATATATGCATATGCCTATACAGACACATACGTCTGTATTTATTTCCCCTCATACATTTGTATGTTTATATGTCGATGCGTATATACACGTTCATGCACATCACGGTGCCCACGAACAGATGCAGCATGCCGACCTAATGCGAACGAACGTCGGACATAGATATCATTTCAAGCACACCGGTTGACTATGTCGGCTTGAAGGACCGCAATTCCATCCCTTACAAACTGTGATTAGCTGAACAGACTCTGCCAGAACCCGTCCTGTGTACGCGAGCGGTGCGTATAAAACCTTTTTCTGCAAAACTTTTTTTTTTGGCAGGGTTTGGGGCTTACCAATTGTGTGTCCGCTTGGGCGCAGGTTGGCCTCTTGCAAGCTTGCATCTTCGGGTTTAGTAACTGCAGTGTGGGGATTAGGATTCAGGGCTTACCATTTCTGCGGCCGGCTTGTCGTGATTTAGGGTTTAGGGCTCGTTAGCGTTTTGGTCCGAGCCTACACGTGGCAACGCTGTTGCCCTTCCTAGGGGAGGGGTGCCGATTGGGCCATGGAAACATCGAGGGATGCGCTTCACAAGGGTCTGCTTGACGGCATGGAGTGGCGTCGACTTTCGACTTTGGCTTCCGAGTTGGACCCTTCTCTTGAGGGCACGCTTCAGAATTTCCTGGTCCGTCCTTTCGGGGCTGCGGCCTCAACGGCTACGGGTCTTCTGTCTAGGGCCATTGTCTTGAAGGATGACGGGGAGTCCACCGAACACAAAGTCTTACTCAAACTACGCCATGCTGACTGGCTCGCTCTTGAGGACAGCACAGGTGTATTCAAGGTGCTCCAGTCCCAGGTCCATGTAAACCATGAGGACTTCATGTTGGATTGCAGTCATCCGCATACCACGGTGATTTGTACCGCTGTGCTTGAAACGGGCGCGGCTATTAGCATGGCTGAGATCTTCAGTGGGGGTTTTTCAGGTTGGTCCCAGGCGGCATATGTCATGCACCGCGGTGGCACGCCCATACATACCTCTTGGTCTTTGGACGTTGATCCTGAATGCGAGGCGATGTTGCGTCTTCAGAATCCAGGGCTGCATTGTATCTGGCAAACGTCGGAGTTGGAAGACATCCTTGATGACACACCAGCGGGAGTACATGTTTGTACCAATGTTCACAGTGAGTGGTGGCTGCGCATGTTTGCCATCCGACCAGTGCATATCATTGCTGTATCCCCACCATGCCAGCCGTGGAGTACAGCTGGGTCCGGTGCCGGTCTCCAGTCAGAAGACGGCATGCTCATGCTCAGAATCGTTGACATCCTTGGCGCTGTCCAGGTGCCCGTAGTTGCCCTTGAGCAAGTAGGGGGATTCTTGAAACATCCGCATGCTCCAACAGTACTTTCGGCCTGGAGCGAAGTCGGATACTCTATTGCTTGGCAGGCCACCATAGATCTGTTGGATGTTTTGCCATGTTCTAGGAGCCGCACGCTGATTATCTTCCGCCACAGGACATGCCGAGGTCCACCAGCACTGTCCGGCATCAACTGGGCGTGCACACGACGCCACAACTTGGCGACCGCGCAAGTGCTGTTTGATCTTCCGGGCAGCCTCCTGCAGCCACTTGTTTTGTCGGAGGAGCTGAAAACCACATACCTTGATCCATGGTTCATGCCTCCATCCAGGCTCGGCAGGGTCACGCAGAGCCGGGTAGACGCCTTCCGGATCAAAACCGCTGCTGCCACTGCAGGTTGCTTCATGGCTCAGTATCAATTTCAGCATGAATTGCCCCCCAGACAACTTGAGACCAAAGGGCTTCTTGGCTTTGTACTCCGCCACCAGGGTGTTTTGCGCTTTTTCTCAGGAGCCGAAATCGCGGCGTTGCACGGAGCAGTGCGACCAATCCTGCTTCAGGAGAATCGCCGGTCTCAAATGAGACTGTTAGGTAACAGCCTGGCCGTCCCGCAGGCTGCTGCAGGCCTTGCGTTTGCGTGCCATGCGCTAGGATGTCAGAGCTCGCCTGAACCTGCTGAGGCTGTTGCGACCTGTCTCTCAGCGCGACTCCATAATGCTAATACCTTCTTCCTGCCGAAAGGGGCCGATTGGATCTTGTGCCGCAAGGACCAGGTCGCTGATGTTCTTAGCTCAGGCGAGATGAAGCCGTTGCCACCGCCCAGCCAGACAGCACCTATTGACTTTGTGCCCCTCACCTTCCAGACCGGACACGCGGAAGTCACACTGTATGCACCAGCAGGTGCCCAGGCCCTTCGCGTTTTCGCCCACCTAGGTGTTGCGCATCTTGCACCAACTTTGCCTGTGACGGCGCATGATCGCCTCCACGCTTTAAGGTTGAGTGTCGCTGCCCTTCCTAGTCTAGATTGTGCGGGCTTCTTTGGTGGTTGTGCCAACCGTGAAGGTTTGTGCACCGTCCTGGTCTGTGGAGGAGCATTCATCATTGATACCTGGTCCCCCCGCATGTGGACGCAGCTCCTTAATGTTTTCGATTTTCTCACTTCTGAGGCAGAGGACCTTTGTTGCTGGCGCCCCACAGGGCAAAAGCTAAGGTTTGCAGATGATTTCGACGGCTGTGTCGTTGCCTGCACTTCGCCTGCTGAAGCCCCAGAGCTACCTCTCAGTTTGATTGCGAAGATCGTGCCTGACCTCCGGATGCAGTTCCAGGCTGGTGCCGCATGCCTATCTTGTCCAGCTGCATCTGCTACCGAGTGCTGGCTTGGCTTCCCATTCCACCTTGCCTTGGCCTACGGATGGGATGCTCAGGTTGGTAATTTCCCGCCCACCACAGATGCTCCTATGACCATCGACTTGCATCCAATCCTGACGCGCTTGCACCTCCAGCCGCCCACACTGCCACGGCAATTGCGTTCTTGGTTCCTGGTTGCTTGCCTTGAAGGGGCTGCCGTCGCACCTTCTGATGAAGGCGCTACTCTGGTTGAAGTACAGATCGAAGCACGGCGCATCTGGTGGGGTCACCTGCATGATCTCTCCAGGGCCACCGTACTGTTGCAATGGTGGCAGGAAGCCTCTCAGGTCTGCCAGACACCGCCAGCCGTCCGAGTCTTCTCAGGGCCGCACCCAGTTCAGGATGACGACACCTTGCTTGCCATCAGGTCCAGAACCCGTCAAAGAACCGTTCGCCGCGCTGGCCACTTGTTGCTTACATTGCAGCCTTGCATTGTTGGAGGCGGCGTTAAGGATGAGCAGGCCCATTGGGCTCAGACACGCGCAGCCTCTGTCTGTCTTGCACAAGGACTCGACCTTCGTACCACAACGGCAGACAGGGCTACCAAACTTTCTACTTGGGGTGACATGTCTTTCATGACGGTCTGTGGTTCTGGTCTGGACAAGCCGGGCTCAGTGTCCAGACCTCCCCCCCTTTTTTTAAAGTCATGTGAACACACTGTGAATCATGGCTCTACAGGTCACCCGCATTGAGTGAGGACTGCGGGGTTCGAAAGGGCATGATTTGGGGGGTTCGCGAGCGCTTGTCCTGGCAGCAACTGTGAACAGCCGCTTTGGCATGTGTCGTGGCTCAGGCGGCGACATACGTCGCCGGCCAGGTGACGGGATGAAATGATCTCCGGTGGTAGTCGGCTGCGCCATGGCGGTCAAATTGTTCCACACGCGCCCCGTGGTCAGTGGCGTGGGCACAGAAATCCATCGGCCCATCTCTCTGGCTTTGGCTTCCATTCAGCATGCGATCTCGGGGCTGGAGCACTTACACCTTCAAATGTACGAGGGATACTTGTTGGTGCAGGTGCTTCCAGGCTTCGTGAAGGCTCTCGCAACAGCATGCACATGAGGATGCATGCAACATGCAGGCATACAGCCACTGAGGCCGATGCATGCATGCAGCAGGCATACAGCCACTGAGGCCATGAACTATCGAAGTTTCGGGGTTTAGGGCTTGCGACATAGCCATGGCTTGCTATCGCCTCTTTTTCAATGGAATGCCCGAGGCATGTCTGCTGCACTGCATGCCCTACATATTTGTAAAAACCCCTAAACCTTCAACCCTATATGCAGGCGGCGGCCACAACGACTTGCAAGCTTCGATCGGAGACATCTTCACGAAGGCGACGGCCACAGGGGTTGTGCACTTCTCCAGGTTGAAACTTTGCAGTCTGTGCATTGGACGAAGGACAACAAGAAGAAGTGGAGGTGGCTTTCGGGGCCGGCTGCAAGGCCTTGGGGAAGGCTGAGGTGGACGAAAGGAGGTGGGGTGCATGTGCTGATCATGCATGGAGAGAAATGATTTTTTTGGTCCAGGCTGGCGCGTGGACAAGATGGGGGACTCCGAGGAGGTGCTCTCCATCTGGTTCAATGTCTCGAAGTCCCTGGAGCCTCCTGAGAAAGGCCTGTGTGAACTTCAACATACACCCAGCAACCCAACACACCGATCAGGCTGGAAGTTCTGGTGCTCCAAGAAGGGCCGGTACAGGAACAGCCAAATCTACTTCGAGGACCTTGGATGTGTGTCTGAAGTATTTCGGATGGAACATGCAGTGTTGTTTGATACAGGAAGTCAGATCCGGCGAGGAGCCTTCGTTGATGCCATTACTAAGGCCGGTTCGACAGCTAGACTCAGCCAGGCAGTCAAAGCCACCAGTGAGGATGCTAAATGGAATCAGCTCGGATCGTATGCCAAGGAGCTGGACGTGCCAGTGCCACAGGCTGCCAGCCTCTTTCAAAGAGCCGACCAACGAGCCAAGCGGCAACTTCAGAAACACCGGGCGCAACAAAGCAACAATCTGAAGGCCTCAGCGGTTCAGGTGCAGGAAGGTTTCTTTGTGAATGATGACGAGACACCGGCCCAGATCCTTGACGCCATTCGGCCAGGGGCCACTGGGCTGCTCTTGGTTGATGGGGATCAAGCTGCCGACGCCTTAAACACTCTGCAGGGAGTTCAGTCTGATGAGCTTGGCATACTCGTGCTGGGGCACACTTGCCCTGACCCTGCAAGCTGCTCTCGCAGGATTTCCTTCCCAGCTACAGGCAGAGTTTGCAAATCACAGCTCCTGCTCGCCGGATGCCTTCATAACGTTGGAGGCAAGGCCATACGCCCCTCCAAGCAAGCTGACATCACTGTTGCCCTTCCTGACATACTGTGTTGCACATTCACTGCTTTCGCAGATGACTTCCCTGCGGGTCAATCGGAGCAGATTGTTCAGGCTCCGGTGAAGCAGCTTTTGTCTGCTTTCCACGATGTTGATGCTGCTAAGGCAATCACAACGCCATGCGGCCGTCAGTTTCGGTGCAAAGGTAAGATCGCCGCCCCCACAGCAGCTGATCAGGTCAGCTTCCAGGCTAGGGTGCCCAAGGGGGACTGCGATGCTCTTCTGATTGCCAGTGGGCACAACAGTGTCTACATTACGCCACGAAAGCTTGATCACAGTCTGCTCTCTGGTTACTCCATCATCTGGATCGGGAGCCATCAGAGCCTCCTTGCAGATCCCAGAACAGCGCGGAATTGTTCGTGCTAAGGACCGGTTTGGATTGCGGGTACCTGAGGCTCGCTTTGAAGCTGCGTTTGGGTTGCTCCGGCCGGGGCAGATCGCACCGAATAAGGTTGCTGTCCAGTGTCTTTTCAGAGTTGGCCCCACCCCCACGGGTGCAGATGCCGCTGCAGTCTCCACGTGGGCCTCGAAGTTCAGTTGGGAAATCAAGGTCATTAAGGCTTCAGGTCCCAGCCATTGGCTTGTCGGCGCCGCTGCACAGCCACAGTCAACGTGGCCGCTGTTTAGCGGTCAGACTGTTCTCATCAATCCTGTGGCCCAGCGCGAGGTTCGACAATCTGTTGTGCAATCCGGCAGCCTTAATCTTAGGCTACAGGCCCCGCAGCAGACACCTGCTGAGGACCCCTGGCTTATCAGTGACCCTTGGAGTGCTTCGCGCTCCTTTGCATCTTCCAACAGCAGCCGGGAGCCCGGGGCAAAGTTTGCCACTTCCGCGCAAGCACCGTCGACCCGTGCTCTTGCAGGCCCTACAGAACAGCGATTTCAGCAGCAGGATGCGCGCATACAAGCTCTTGAAGAGAGCGTGCAGGCACTCCAGCTTCAGCAGGAGCAGAACCATGCGCAACTTGTACAGCAACAGGCCATTGATCGCAAAGCCGCGGCTCAGGCTACAGCGGGACTGCAGGACCAGCTCAGCACTGTCGGCTCCGAACTCACCCGTAAACTCCAGGCCTCAGCAGACGCGCTGCAGAATGCCCAGAACCAGCAGCAGAGGCAGATGCAGAGCAGCCTTGATGAGCTTAAGAGCCTTTTCCTCGAGAGCCGTGACCACCGAGCAGCTGTCAAAAAGCCCAAACTTGATGCACAAGACGGCGACCTTTGACAGCCCCATTTTGCCACGGGCCGATTACCGCCATTTTGGCGCCAACGGGGTCAGCTGCATTCCTCCTGCTTGTTTCCATTGGGAGAGCTGCAAGCAATGGGTGCGGCGATCAGCCGAGGAGCTGATGTTATTTTGCGTGCCGCAGGGGTCGTGGCATGTCATCAATCCAGTTTTTTATGTGGTGCTGCGACTCGCACCCACCTGTTCCAATCTCACACATTGAGTTCGTTTCGTTTTGCAGGTGCGTGCATTTTGCTCTCGTCCATGTGACACTTCGCAACAGCAGTGCCCATCATCTGATACCGAGTCTCATGCTTCAGAGGAGCCTGCACCAAGCCAGGGCGAAGCTGAGGATGCAGCGCCTACCCTGCCGTTGCGTTTGGCTGTGATCAACCCCACTTCCCTGCTCAATAAGGATCGCGAGATACTTGAGCTTGGCCAGGACATCGTGCTCGCCTCTGAGACATCAGCGGTGGCCACCGTCCAGCGCATTGTGGCACACAAGCTTCGGCCAACCGGCCTTACCACTGTCTGGAGTGCACCAGTGTCACCACATCAATCCCAACGCGAGCACCAGACCACGCTCCGGGGTCATGCATCGGGAGTTGCACTCATCTCTCGATTCCCAGCTAGAAAATCCTTTGTGCCTTTGGCGCATCAGGTTGACCAGGCCGCCCGACTACTTGAGAGTCATGTCCGCGTAGGGCAGTTTGAACTCAGGGTTTTCGTCGTGTATGGTTACCCAGCAAACTACCAGGACGCTGGCGGCCGCAACGCTGCCTTGTTTCAGACGGTCCTCCGCAGACTGATTGACTGCCCTGTCCTGGCACTTGTCGGTGGTGATTTCAATACGGATGTCACGGCTTTACCGGAGTTTGACCTGTTTCGGCAACTGGGGTTTGTTGAGGCCTTCATTTACTGGCAACAGTGTACTGGCATACTCTTGCCCCCGACTTGTAAGAATGCCACTCGGCATGATACCTTGCTTGTCCCGGACATACTGCTGCCATATGTCACGACCATGCGGGTCGCCGCAGACCTTCACTTCTTCGATTCCCATGCACCTTTCATTGCCGAATTCGGCTTGCCCGTTGCGCCGCGATGCAAACAGGGCTGGCGCAAACCCAGAACTTGGATGTCCGTCCTGCCCCCGCATGTTGATCTCTCACCACATTACGCCAGATACCAAGGTCAGGTCCAGGAGGCCATCACTGCTTGTCAAACGAGCGATGACTTAGATGCGGCTTTCCAAACCTGGGCAGCTGCAACTGAGGCAGCAGTTGACGCGGCGGTGAGGACCGCTCATGATATCGATCCAGGTCTCCACCCAACAGCAAAACTGCCTAGGTCCGCCAAGGGGCGCTGCACTTACCGCCCACTCTGCAAACGGCCGTATGCGCGATCTGCCCCGCAAGGCAGAGACGGTGATTATGCCCCGCCCTGCGAGGCGGTGACTGTTGTTGCTAGGGCTAAGGTTCGCCAGGTCCGGCGTTTGAACACATTTGTGCAAGGCCTTACTAAGGTTGCAGCTGTTACAGTCCTTCCGCCGACAGTTCAGGCTCAGTTTTGTCAGGAGTGGGCTGCTATCACACGCGGCCGGGGCTATGCTCCTAATTTCGCCACCTGGCTACTGCGGTGCTCCCATTTTCAGGAGTATTGGTCTTCACTGCCTCCTCTTGCCTGGATCAGGGAGGTCCTGCAGTACGTACGGTTTGATGCTGATGCACATGTCCGGGCTGAAGCAGATCACCGGCGCAAGCTTACCCGCTTCCAGGTCCATCAGGATAGCAGCTCCGGCAGCTCCCGCATTGGGTACCGGTCCTTGCGGCCACATCCGCGACCGCCTTTCACCTGCATACCTTATGAGGAAAACCAGGAGGCCCAACTGGTGCGTTCGGTTTCTGCTGAAGCTGGCCTTTACTCTGTGCCCATGCCCCGTTTTGTCAAAGTTGGACAGACTGCCCACCTTGGTGATGTTCCAGTACAAGTGGTTTCCATCAAATCGAATGAGATTGATGGATCCTTGCTGCTGCTTAAGGGCCCGTCGCAATCACTGCCGTCTGTTGCTCGCTTTGTCCAGCCCAGCAGTGCAGCCACGGCTGCCGAACTCAATCGAGTCTTCATTGAGTTTTGGGCACCCATCTGGTGCCGGGGTAAAGGACCTGCCAGGACTGACCCAGCATATTGGGCGACATTTCTGCAACAACTCCCACCCGCCCCGAGTGCGGCCAGGACTTTGTCTATCGACATGCGGGATCCTGATGTATGGGCTCGCCAGGTTAAGCGTCTCAAAAATGGCCGAGCGACGGGCTACTGTGGCTTCAGCCCCGAGGAGATCAAAACACTGCCGCCTGCAGCGGTCGGCCACTTGGCGCAATTGTTTGCCAGATGTGAGCGCTGTGGATTTCCCAAACACCTTGCACAGGCCACCGTACATGTACTGGCCAAAGTCGACGAACCATTGCACATAGGCCAAGGGCGACCGATCACAGTTTATGCCACAGTCTACCGACTGTGGTCAAGTGTGGCTGCCCGTGCCATTCTCCAACAGTGGGCAACGTGGATGCCTGAATCCGTTCGTGGCTGTCTGCCAGGCAGAGGGGCCCGTGAGGTATCGCTCGTCATTCAAGTTATGCTGGAATCTGCCCTGCTTACCGGGCAAGCAATGGGAGGATTCTCTCTAGACATTGTCAAATGCTTCAACCAAATCCCACGCCAGCCATTGCGCCAGCTGCTACAGCACTTGCATGTGCCCTCGGACATTCTTGAGATTTGGTTTCAATTCCTTGAGTGCAATACTCGTTTTGCGCTGTTCCACGGTGACCTTGGAACCCCAATCGCCAGCACTACCGGGGTACCGGAGGGAGACCCACTTTCCGTTGTTGGCCAAATCGCAATCTGCTGGGCACTCGTGGCACGGCCCCTGGCTCGCTGCGGAGACTCGACTGCTCCGCCACTTGCTCTTGGATGCTGTTGACTTTTGTCGGGGTCTTTGCCTACCGATTGATTGGACCAAATCCTTTTGCTGGGGTACCACGCGGGAGCTGCGCTCATTCTGGGCCCACCAGCAACTGCCGGGTTGCCCAGAGGGCAGCCGACTAAAGCTGGTTAGTGAGGCTAAGGACCTTGGGGTTGCGTTCCGTTTTGATCGGTGTGGTGGACTAGGCAAGGCTGCTGCCCACATTGCAGAGGGCCTTCAAAGGTTAAAACGACTGCAGCGACAGCACCGACCACTTCAGAATGCTGCCCACCTTGTCCAGTCGGGCATCTGGCCAGCTGCACTGTACGGCCTTGAGGGCCACCACGTTCCGGACAATAAGCTTGATCAGTTGCGCACCGGGGCCGCTAGGGGCATCTGCGGCGACCGTCATTGCATGTCGCCACATCTTGCCCTGGAATGCCTAACCAGTGCCGTGCTTGATCCTGCTGTTTACCTGCTTGTCCAGGCCCTGTGTGCCCTGCGCCGACTCTTGAGGGTCCTGCCGGACTATGGGCAGAAATGGCTCAACTTGACTTGTGATACAGCAGTGCACAGCCGCCGCGCGTGTGGCCCAGCCACTTCACTTGCCAAACAGTTGAGGGCCCAGGGATGGGTTCTGCGGGCCGATGGGGTCCTCAAGGGAGCAGGGCATTGGCACCTTTGCCTGTTCCACAGTACGCCAAAGCAGATTCGCACTGCCTGTCAAGCTGCTTGGAATGAGACAATCCATGAACGAGTTGGCCACCGCAATGGCCTTCACCAAGCCCGGTGTCCTTGTCCGAAGCTCATGACCCGTGTGCTTAGAAAATTTCCTGAAGGTGCTCAGTTGCATCTTGCTCACAGCGTCGTTGGGGGATTTCAGTCCCGAGCTGCACGAGCCACATACGACCCGCTCGTTGAGAAGGCGTGCCCCTACTGCGGTGAAACAGACACCAAGGCGCACCGCTTGTTGCAGTGCCCGGCCACCGCTTCTGTTCGAGAACCATTTCAGGCTTTGCTTCAATGGGTTTGTGAGACATGCCCGCATTGGCTTCATGCGCCGTTCCCGACTGCCCATGACGACGAAGGTTTCCTTAGGTTACTTTGGAGCAGTCGACGAATGCCGCCGCCGCCTGATCTTGGTGACATCCTCGGCGGGCAGCCCTCCCTTGAGCATGCATTGTTCACAGATGGTTCTTGTGTTCATCCCACGTGCCCTGCGGCACGGCATGCAGCTTGGAGTGTCATTCTACACAATCAGTGCACCAGCGTTCCGGATCTTCGGCTCATTGTTGATGAGCCCGACTTGCTTCGTGCCACTTTCCCTGTCGTAGCACAGGGACTTCTACCAGGGGAGCAAAATATCTACAGAGCTGAAGTCGCGGCACTTGTGCAGATTGTGTGCATTGCGGCCGCCCACCCGGCGCGCATATTTCACGCATGGACTGACTCCAGTAGTGCATTAAGTACCCTCCGGGATTGGTTGCAGTCATCGCCAGCAGACTTGCCTCAGATGTCCGCCGCTGCTGATTTGCTTGCGCATCTCCCAGGCGGCCGACCGCAGAACCTGTATCTACACAAGGCTAAGTCTCACCAAAGCCTCTCAGCGGTGCCGCGGGAGGAACTCCTTCAGGTCGTCGGCAACTACGTTGCCGATGCAGCAGCTAAGGCGGCTGAAAAGGATGATCTCCCCGGCTTAAGTGCTCAACTCGATGCTGTTGCTGCCTGGCGTGACCTGCAGGAGGCCAACTTGTTCACGTACTTCCAGTACCTTTTGGAGGTCACCAAATTTGTCGGCCAACTCCGCACAGCAGCTTACGACAGTACGGCTGATAACGGATACGCTGCTGTTGGTGCCGCAGAACGCCATCAGCAATGGTGTGCTCTGGACAACCAGGATCGACGGTGCATGCCACCACCGCCGGGACCCGTCGACCTCGCGAATCGCCTCCAACTACAGACATCCTGGCCACCTGGGTTTTTACATTGCCTCCACGATTGGAGCCAGCAACTGCAGTGGCCTACAGCTGGCCCTGAAATCCATGCCATGGCCGGGATAACATACCTGGAGCTCCTCGCGAATTTTGTTGTCTGTACAGGACAGCTACCACCGGTCCAGATCGCCAGTCGCGGTACATCAAGCTGGATTGCGCTCACTGACAGTGCAGGAATACTACATCCTGTTGTACTTCGTGACGTTCTTCTTGCTTTTCTTGCTGCGGTTAAGAGCCTGGATAAGCAGCTTGGCACCAGATGCTGGCCGAGTCGACGTCATCATCGTCTACACAGCTTAAAGGTGTTCGGTCACCGCGATGGCCGGAAGGGATTACTGTTGCGTCCGAGAATGCCTCAACAAGAACAGACAGGTCATGTGGTGGCACAACTTGTCGCTGACAGTTGTGGAGAGTTGCTTAGGGATGTCGCGCTAAAACGGCGCCCCAAACCTGTTAAAGGTTTAGGGCTCGTTGGTGGTTTTGCGTTATGGCTTGGGGATTTGAGTTCGAAGTTCAGGCGCGCGAGAAGGATAGGCCCTGGATTTGGGACAAGTTTAGGGTTGAAGGTGTCAGGCTTAGGTATGAAGGTGCATCTTTCCATGCGCACATGTCCATCCCTGTGTATGTGCACATCTGCGTTCTAGTACTTGTATACATCTGCATATGTATGTACATATGCATGTAGGTAGTATGCACGTACTTGCGTACGTGTGTGTGACCAGGCAGCGCTATCTAAGTCAAAAAGTATGTACATGTATGTATGTATGTACGTATGTATGTACCCATGCATGTATGCATGTAGCTATGTAGGTATGTAGATATGAGATGTGTGTGTGTGTGTGTGCTTGTCGGTGTGTACGCTTGTAATACATGTATGTATGTAAATGTTCGTATGTATGCCTGCATGCATGGATGGATAGATGGATATACGTACGTATGTATGTACGTATTGTATGCATGTAGCTAGCTAGCTCTATATGCATGCATGTATGCGCATGTATGCCATTCATTGTACATCTTTCCTAGATGCTCTCCGGCCTCCTTGCTTTATTCTCTCGTTTCTTTTCGTATTTTTTGCCACTGGCCTTCCCCTCCCTTCTTTGCTTCCGAACCACGCCCCTCAAAGCAAACACAACCGATACATGGACTTTTACATGATAGGCCTGTATTGCCAAGTCCCACAAGACATTATCGACATGCAGTGGCTGTATCCGTCAAGATCTTGGCATGGTGACCTTTGTCTTGGAACTTCCGTAATTGTAAGCCTCATGCACGGGAGAATCGGTGGAATGTGACTGATGCAGGTGCAGTTGGTCTTGCTTGACTGCGGTCTGGTCATTGCACTCGCCCCGGATTCGTGGCACGAGCACTCACTATCTCAGCTGGGACCGCGGGGAAGGACCTATCCGGCCAAGCTGGAGAGGACTTGTCTGCGATGCTGAAGGCAAGAGAGGGTGACGGTTTCGTAAATGCTGCAGTCCAGCAGGCCAGATTGGTGTGGTAGATGTGGCATCGCCAAGCAACTTTTCACTACGCAGGCTTTCCTGACAAAGTCTGAGGAGGATGTTGCGTGCAAGCCTGAAAGAATGTTGCACTTGTTGTCCAAGTGCCTTGTTGCACAGTTCTAAGCTTCAGCCTGAGCTTCCGTCTGTCGTCTCGTCACTGCATGGTCGCTCTCATTCGTGTACTCGTGCAGTTTTCAACCTCATGCTCTAACGTGAGGTTCCAGTTTCTGCATGCTTTGCTGTTTGGAATTTCTTTTCTGGGCGATGTCACGCTTCGGACAAGGCAGTCCTCGTTTCTCATCGCAGGATGGCAGGAGTCGGAAGGCAGGAGTCGGAAGACGCAGAACAGCAGAACGCAGCTTCCACATCTTGCGTGCAGGGATTATAGCTTGCCGCACAAGCCGAGGCGCTTGCTCATCTCGCTGAGTGAGAGGGTTGGCGGCAAGCCAGAGGACGGGACAGTTGGCTCCGGGATCCACGATTGAACGAATGAACGAACCAGTGTAGGCGAGGGAGGGAGCTTCGCAATTGAAAGCCGCAAGCTTCTTTCTCATCCTTGTGCTGCTTTTGAGGGTTGGGATGGGATGGTGGTGGGGTCTTTGCTGCAGCATCATGCTCGAAGCATCTTCGACAGGACGTGGTACAACCCGAAGTATTTGTCAATGGGATTGCCAGCCTCATCCGCTCCGGAAAAGGGGTCGGCTTCAGGCAGCATGACAGCAGTGGCCGACACAATGCGACATGTTCCGTGTCAAGGGTGAACTGTCTAACAGGCTCTCGAAGCTGAACGCTGGATCGCTCATGGGTCAAAGCTTGCTGTCCAGGCCTTGGTTCCTTCGGCGTCCGGGGTTTCAAGGATCGATTCTCCCCCTCCCTGCACCTCTTGCTGAGGCTCGGTCGAAAGCACGGCGTACGTTTCGATGCTCGCTTTGTCAACCTTATGGTGGCCATGATTGTGGTCCAGGCGCAAACTGAAAACTACAACCTGCCTCCGGCCCTTCCCTCCTTCCGTCCTCCTGTCTGAATGCCTTTGCTTGGATCTTGGGATCGGTGCAGGGCGTGTCGCTTCGGCTCAACGGAGACGGCGACATCATGAGCAGGTTCGGTGGCAAGCCGTTGTTTCGTGCCAGAAGGCTACCTCGTGCTACGAGTAGCTGACTAGCTCTTGTTGTGCCCTGTGCCAGTGGATTCTGCAGACAGGACAAAGATGATAGCACTCGATGATTGATGTGTCTTGTTTGTAAAGTCTTGGAAAGGGCAGCTACTGCAGCTACTGGAATGCAAGATTCTGTGATGGGCAGGATGAAGGGCGTGACATCTTGCAAGTTTCTTTCGCCCTTCCGTGCAAGCTTGCAGCCTTGATCAGGATGCGGCCGTTCTTGTTCGGCGCTGCGGTGCAAAGCTCAGGATGATCTGCCAAAGTGCCCAAGATATCAGCAGGCGTTTCGTGCGTTGGGAATTTGAGGTCTCTCACCTGACATCGTGACGATGGAGGATTGTATTCCCTCGATAGACGGAGAGGTGCATGCGTCTTACATGTGCAGCAAGGGCATGTGCGATGTGCCCGGCCACGGGTCGTTACTCGTAGCAAGTTAGGGTAAGCAGCACGAGGTTCTTCCGACCACAGAACACTCCCGACATAAGCAGCATGTCGACCACGTGGCTCTGCCAAGCTGTCTCGTGCCCAGTTGACGAAGCCACGAGCTGAAGCCACAAGAAGCATCTCTCGTGCCTGTCCCATACGGGACCTGTAAAGCAAATGGTGCGATCATGAGGCATCATGAGGCCGCTGAGGCCTCTGGACTTTCCGGTTGCCATCTGGCAAACCAGCCGATCCGGTTCGTGGCCTGCTTCTGCGCAAAGCAAGCCTCAGCAGGTTTTCCGCTGGGTCGGGTGTTTGCAACGAAGCTTGAGCCTCCTGGATGGAACGGGAAGTCGTCCAGAAGGGACTCAGACTCTCCTGCACGGTTGCGCCGCACAGCCTGTACAGAGGGGTCATGCATCTCATGCAACCCAAGGATTGGTGCCCCGTTTGCCTTAGAGGGAGAGGAGAGAGTTTGATGACTTTGTTCAAGAGCGAGCTCTTGCACTAGACCCTGGCTTCAGCATGAAAAGAGAATCGCTTCTAGCCACTTCTACTGAGGTTCAATCAGCCTTCGTGCGATAATACCTCGTGCCCGCAAACTCTCATCAAGTAGCCATGCCGACCAGCTCATGATCACCAGAAGCGATCTACAACGACTTTGGATGCGCGTGTCCTGAGACTAGCTAGGCTATCAAGACATGCAGCACTCTCGAACTGGAAACTCCATGTGGTCTCAGGCCAATTTCAGCTCTTGACTGACCAACCCGAACTGATTCCCAGTACTTCCATGCTGAAGAAGTTACAGCAGGTTGCAGCACAACAACAGATGTGAACCTTTCCAGCGAAAGCTGTGATGGCCGCACCAGGCGAGCTTGAAGGGGGTAGTCATATGCCCCTGCTCCATATGTTCAAGTCGGTGTGGCTGGTTAGAGGGACTGACGTTGTGGGATCATGAGTCGTGCTGTGACAACATCGCCTGAGAGGCACTTTCCAGTCCCTGCGCGCCAAACCCGCGACGATTCTGGACTGCGTGGCTTCTGCGACCCTGCTGTTCTGGTGACTAAGCCATCACGACGTAGCAAGTGAAAGCAAAGATGTGAAATTATTGAAGGGGTGAACTCCAGGTGACTTTGATGGGCGGTGGTGTGTCGTCGGAGAAGGTTAATTTAATTTTAACGCTACGCCGCCCGCCTCGGCTGTGTAGCGGCAGGGCGAGGGGGCAGTCGATGTTTTTTTATGTCTTTGTTTTCCTGCAAACCAGTTAAGGCCTTCCAGCCATGCCGCCACAGAAAGAGCCTGAAAAGAAAGACAGGCAGCCAAAGCGGGGGCGAGGAAGACGAAACGAGGGCGGGAAGAAGAAGTGGGAGCAGGAAAGAGGGAAGAAAAAGGGGGGGGGGGGGGGGGGGGGGGGGGGGGGGGGGGGGGGGGGGGGGGGGGGGGGGGGGGGGGGGGGGGGGGGGGGGGGGGGGGGGGCTGGGAGGGGGCGGGTAGGCCCGCAAATCAAAGAAAATGAGGGGAGGCCGGGCAAGGGGGTGGCAAACGAGCGCAAAAACAGGGTGTCACCAGGAGGATTAGGTGGAGGGTACCTGAGGTAACCACCAAAACGCCTGGGCCTGTGGCCTCGGCGGATTTGGGTTTCTGTCGCACCACATGTGTGATGTTGTCGCGAGGAAATTTTAGGTGTGTTTGCATACTTCCTCCGGAACACGGCACGGAAGAAGTGTCTTTGATTATGATTCTGACTCTACACCGGCTCAGCTTCACATGACAGGGGAAGCAACACGCGTTCACATCATCATCCCGCAACTTGACAACATGCCGGACATGTAATGCTATTTCATGTTCGAGTTCAATGATGGTGGGCACCTACTGTATGCCCCTCCAATATGCCCCTGAAGCACTCCAAACCTGCCCCCCTGGTCCGGGCTACTCAAGGCCTAGCTTTTTCTAGTCATTCGCCTGTACCTTCTGTGAGATTACTGAAGTGCTATGGCTGCCGCTCACTGCACAGCTGGCTCACGAGCCAGGCAGGGAGCAGCAATACAAGGACAACTCGAAAGCATGATCGAAGCGGCAGGAACTGTCAGATGTTGTAGCTTCTGAAAGCATGGTGTCATCGAAGAGAGGTCAGCTTCCAAAGAAAGCATTATGCATGTTCTACCGGCAGATCAGGGTCAGCATTAAGACATGACATTGTCCTTCTGCAACCCGAATCCTCTTCCTCAAAGAGGCTTGTTCTGTCTTGTTCTGGGATCAGGGCTACATGCCCCATTCTGTTTGCCAGGTCTTGGCGCGGCCGAGGCGCTGCTCTTGCACACTCGCCGCTGTTGCACCTCGACTTCACTGATAATTTTTGTTGGAGGGGCCCGGGTTGGTGGCGTGGGCTTGTGCACCTGTGAGGGGGGCAGACTGCATTGAACGTTAGTGAATTTGGTGAGCAGGATGCCCGGGTTTCTGCAGGGCAAAACGCTGTGAGAAGCAGCAACGTCCCAAAATGGTTACAGGTAAATCACAAAGACATACAAGCGACTAGCAAACTGCAAATCGTACAGAAAGGCTCCTCCTCGTTGGCGCGGGAAGCTATGCGGCTACGAGGATCCCCAGCGGCATTAAATTGAGCAGTGGATTTGGCTCTCGTCCGCGCTGTCTGTCGAATTGCACTGCTGTGAGCTTGAGACTTGAATGCTGAGGACAGTTTCTGGCGTGTGGGAGTTGAGCACATCAGGCGCGTACCGAATTACCGCGTTCAGGTTGTGGCTTTGCGGCTGAAAGGCATGTGAAGGTGTTGGTATGAGTGCTCCGGGTCCGAACCGCTGGAAGCATCGTTGCTTCGTGTGTTGGGGACGGAAAAGAAGGCTTCTGGAGCAAGTTGGGGGTTTTTGCAGGTGCCAACTCGCTGAGCTTCTTACAGCCTGCTCGGGAAATCGAGGGGATCGGCCGCGCGAAAGCGACGAAGCTTGGCGCAGCCAGCACATGTCGAGGCGCTCGTTCATGTGTGGGGCTGCCTCTGAGGCCAGCGCTGAGAGGCCAGCGGTCCCGAGTGGGTGCTGGAGAACAGGACCAACGGTCCAACATGGCGGCACTGAAGTCTGCAAGTTTGCATGCTGGAGAGGACACTACCGCAGTTCTCGAGAAAGCTATGGGAGAAAAGAAGAATGGCCACGCCGGCTCGAATCCCGTGAGTTGCTTACCCATTCATGCAACTCTGCAGCCAGGGCACTCGGAGAAAGAGCACGAGCCGCATGAGCCAGTGCCAGATGATGTCATGGAGCGACAGGCGCTGGGTTATCGCTAACCCCCGCATCGCTTCGCATCTCTGTGCACTGTCCGGAAGCCTCCGCTTGAGTCGAGGTGGTGCCGAAGTCCTTGGAGTTTGATGCCGAGCCCTCTGCGCCATCCGCAGCGCCGAGCTGGCTGCCGGTTGCGGCGTCGCTTCTGCTGGGCTTGGCGCTGGGCCTGGCAGCGCGGAACCCTGTCGGCAGCCCTCAAAACGTGGCCGTGGCTCGGCGGACGCACTTTGGGCGCAGAGAGTGAGAGTCTTTCTTCTCTTCTCTTGCGTGGAGGGGGTGTGCTTGCAAGGTTGTGGCACCAGCCAGTTCTCAGTCTGATGCCGTGGTCGAGCAGAAGCCACAATCGACAACTAGCAAAGTCCTCAATCAGGCCGGTCCCCAAGACAGACCGAAGGTGTGAGGATAGCGCATGTTAACCTTAGCACTTGCCCACCCTGCATCAGTTGGAGACCGTCGCGGAGCGAAGGATTCCGACCGTAGTCAAGGAGGCCGGCTCGTATCATGTTTGATTTGCTTGGCATGATCTCCACGCCCGCAGGCCAAAAATGTGGCCGAGAAAGCTCTGCACTCAGCATTTCAGCGAAGGTGGACTCGGGTTTCCGAGAACGTGCCAAGGTCAAGACTTCGGTGGCCATCATCAACGAGGCACTGAACCACAAGCCATTGATAAGATACCGACAAAGCGGCTCCTTTAGTTCTACCTCGGGTGCCAAGCCAGCATGACCCGACCCGCTCAGGCGACCGGAGGCCCCAGGTTGCACGGACTAGCTGACTAGCAGCGGTTACAAACAAGTACAGGCCGCAACTTGGTGTGCTGATATTCACCTGTGCCCGAAAAGTTTCAAATCGGGGTCCGTCAAAACGTCAGAGCTACTGAACATATTGCCACAGCCAGCACGTGATGTTGCACGGCTTCAGATTCTTTGGCTGGGTAGGTCTTGACGTTTACCGGGCACATTCGAAAGAATCTTCGTTGATCCAGATGGTGAGTGGACAAGTCCTGCTTTTGCAGTCGGACTCTGCAAACTGAGGGAAGCAGAGACGCCTTGCGAGGGAAACCTTCCAGAGTCTCGTTCCTGCATTGCGGCCTGCGAAGAGGCCGAGTCCAAGCAGGACCAGCAGATGAGATACGACGATAAGCTCGCTCCACGATGGCAGAAAGTAGAGGGAACAAAATGTTTAGGAGAGATACTTGAACACTTGAACATGTGCATGATCAATGAAGTAAGTAACAGAAGGAGAAGGTGGACGGTGAGAATCGTGTATCGGAGCTGCCTCCGATCACCCTGAGGCACAGATGTACACCGGCCTCATGGACTCCGCCCGTCAAGCTGGTGCAAAGCTTCAGAACGTCGTGCAAAAGGTTGTCCGGGTCTTACAGCTGCGGAAGCTCGGGCTCCTGTGCCGGCCGATGATGACGAAGACGAAGTACGAAGAGAGACAAATTGTCGGAGCAACGCCGCGACCAAAAAGCAACAAGTATTACCAGCAAATCACCACCAGCAACGAGAATATCACCACAGACGGTCATCTCAATGAACGTCCAGATGCCGCATGAATTTCGACGACGCCGCTGGCACAAAACCACCAGCAGCGATGTTGACGGTGAAA